GCGTAATTTACCGCCCCGATCTCGCAGGTCTTGGTTAAACGTTCGCGCATTATTTTGTTGTTTTTGTATTTATGAAAAAATAAAACATTCCTTTAATCTGACCTTCCCTCTTTAGTGTTTGGTCGGTGACCCTGGTTCTGTTTTTGTTTGCTGCTTTTCATGCCATTTGCGCATTGTGCCCCGAGGATGGAATGCGCATTCTACATTTTAATTATTATTGTTGTTGTTATTTAACGACACATTTGTCGATTTCTGGGTTCTTTTCCGACACGCCACGATGTGAATCAAACGATCTGACTCTTGATAGAGCAACGTTATATTGGTAGGAACCTCCTGGTTACACCAGCCCACAGGGGATTATTGTGTCCGTCCGTCCGTCGTGCAGGGAGGGGCTGGGTGGGAAGGGAGGGGCTGGGCGGGGAGGGGAGGGTGGAGAGGGGCTGGGTGGGGAGGGTGGGGCTGGGTGGGGCTGGGTGGGGAGGGGCTGGTCACCCCGTGCTGTCCTTATAAAACTCAACGTTTAACCTACTCACGCCGGCTTGTGCCCGCCCTCACAGTCGGGCATATTTGCGGAATACACCACGCCGCCGTTGACCCTGGCCATTGACGGAGCAACCCAACGTTCCTACCAGCTCCCTCCGCAGGAATGTGTTTATTGGAATCCGGCTGAGTTTATTGCAAACATCCCCGAGCCTTTGATATACAAGATAGAGATGGCCCACTAGGACAGCTGTACGTGTGCACGTTGACTCTTCTCTCGCACCGTACGTAGCCAACCGTTGTGACTAACGAAACGTCAATAATGTAGTTTTCCACTTGAAGCAACTCGTCAAGGTCAAGGGGTTAGGAGCGGTGACGCAGGAGGCTTGCGCACTGCCTGTAACGTGATGAACCCGGCGAGCTGGAATTTAATTTGTGACCACGTCCATTCGGCGACTAATATCCGAATCGCTCAAGGCATCTCTTCAACTCAACGTCCTTTCACGAACCCCCATTGGCCAGCGTGGTGAAGTATGGTCAAACAATCTTCCATGCATGCCGAGGCCTTCACGCAGAGGTGGATTTAAAATGGGTTATCGTGTTTATATATCATACGGTTTACGTATGAAGACCAAAGTTACGAATGAACTCAAATTGATCAACACTGGCGCTTCCAGGATGTGTACAGGATTCACCATTGACAATTGAAATTGTGTGCACTCTTTAAGCTGGATTGCAGGAGGTAAGCCACTTACCAGCAGCCTTTGGTTAATTTTAAACATCAAATAAAGCCATGATATTTGACGACGCACTTCAAGGCTCGCGTGTTCAAATAACACGTTATGAGACGTGAAAGTACACGGACATCCCTTGTTATCGATCGGCTGCTGGATGGCTGCCTCCCCACTAACACACGTGCGGGTCCGTGGGGAATATCTGACCATACTTCACCTCGCTGGTCAGTGCGGGTTGATTGTACTCGCGTGCAAGTAACACATAGTTAAATATTACATGGCGTACACGCTGCACATGCCTGATGATGCTGAACGCATTCATGCCAGGCGATGTGTACGTTCCCGTAGACGAGGCCACGTTGCCCAAGGACTGCCGATCGCTCCACCGGTTCTCAATCCAATCCCGAATTCATTTCAAGATCGCAATCAGTCCTCTCTGAGATCATCTATGGACTCCTCTGTTCCTACCTCTCATCTCTCATCTCACTCTACCCCCCCTACCTCTCCCCTCTCATCTCACTCTACCCCCCCCCCCCTACCTCTCCCCTCTCATCTCACTCTACCCCCCCTACCTCTCCCCTCTCATCTCACTCTACCGCCCCTACCTCTCCCCTCTCATCTCACTCTACTCCCCCACCTCTCCCCTCTCATTTCACTCTACTCCCTACCTCTCCCCTCTCATTTCACTCTACCCCCCCACCTCTCCCCTCTCATCTCACTCTACTCCACTACCTCTCCCCTCTCATCTCACTACACCCCCTACATCTCCCCTCTCATCTCACTCTACCCCCCCTACCTCTCCCCTCTCATCTCACTCCACCCCCTACATCTCCCCTCTCATCTCACTCTACCTCCACTACCTCTCTCATCTCACTCTACCCCCCTACCTCTCCCCTCTCATCTCACTCCACCCCCCCTACCTCTCCCCTCTCATCTAACTCTACTCCCCTACATCTCCCCTCTCATCTCACTCTACCCCACCTCTCCCCTCTCATCTCACTCGACCTCCCTACCTCTCCCCTCTCATCTCACTCTACCCCCCCAACCTCTCCCCTCTCATCTCACTCCACCCCCCACCTCTCCCCTCTCATCTACCTCTACCTCCTCCCTCTCCCCTCTCATCTCACTCTACCCCCCCTACCTCTCATCTCACTCTACCTCCACTACTCCCCCTACCTCTCGCACCACTCTACTCCCATCAACGCACTCTGCTACCGATCTCCTATCACCGCACTCCCCGCCACGCGCTCTCCACTCCAGGCCTACCAGCGAAGACCTTCCCCCAAGTCATATTCACTCAACGGGAGGTCGCTCGCTGATCATTGTGGTGAAGAATGGTCAAAACAGACCCACACCATCGACACTGCGTCGTGTGGGGCGGTCATCCTCCAGCAGTGGATTGACAACGGCTGTAAAACGAACGGCGCGAACCGTGGCTTAAAACAAAACAAGGAATGCCTGGAGTGCGTCCAAAGCAAACACGTGCGCGCGTGTGCACATACGCACCCTTTGCTGCTGTATTTATCTGGTTAATGAGCCAACACCACTCGCGGTTACGAAAAAAAAGGTGGCCAGGCGAGGCGATTGAATGGGTGACTTTCAAATAACCACAGGCGCGCAAATTAATTCGTTCTCGGTCAAGTGACCGGGAATGCCAAGTAACCTAATTTAGACACCGTCACAGTAGCACCCACGTGCCGCATAACGAACTCACCCATGAGATGTGTGGACTTGCCAGTACAAATTGCTCAGGGTGGGGGGGTGTTTCTTATTCCCTTTATAATTAAATGTAAATTCACGTAGCATCTGAATGCGACCGTATCTCAAGACGTTGGGCAGCAACAGTGGGTATGGTTTTTTGTTTTGTTTCTCAAGAGGCAGTGTTCCGTAGGCAGAGGGAAATAAAAGACTAAGATCATCCGTGTAACCTTTACGGGCTGTTGGGGCAAGTGTTGTTCGCAAGCACCGATGACGGTCGGCACAGCACACGAAGGAGTTGGTGTATAGCTAACACGCTCGGCTGCATTTGTCCCCCCAGTGACGACGACGACGTCTACACACCGCACGGGCGACTCACTTTGAAGGGTGAGTCGACTCAGCAGAGAACCCAAGACCAGTTCAGATATTCATCGCCGATGTTGGCTGTGCGCATAAGTCGAACTCGGGTTTTGCCGGGTTCGTAGCGCAATGCGCTAACCGATACACTACCGTTGCCTGTGTTTTTTGTTTAATAAGAAATCATTATCCATAGGCAGAGGAGAAAACGCATAGACTCGCACAGAGACCTGCAGAATTACACAAATACTCATGAAGAGACCAACAGACTATATATAGAGACCCTTGCAACATAGAATACAACGTGGATGTGCATCGCGTCTATACAACGTGACACTCTCTCAACACGCTCTACAGAAACAGTGTGCGGGACATTTATTTCATCGAGTCGGAAGACAAACTAATTGTGGGAAAATATCAGAGATTCGTGAATACAAATTTGTGCACTTTCAAAATAATACTTAAGAATGCAAACGCAGTATTGCAATGATCCCGTTCAACTTGTCCAGCCAACAACTGAACTCTGCATAATCGGACCAATTCCAGGCGTTGTCTTCACGGTTGGTTCGCACGCCAACTTACAGGGTGTTTTAAAATGATGGACCCGATTTGAAATCGCTAGATCTCTGCAACCACGAACCGCCCATGAATGAAACTCTTACCACTTGAAAGGGCGGGGCATAGAGTTTCAAATGATGACCGCAAGATGCCTCTCCCAGCGCACAAACAGCCCCTAGCCTCAGTCATTCGCAAGACACACTGCCTCAACGTTGGATAGGTCGCACGGGACCCCAAGACTTGGCGCTACACTCTTGGCCCCCAAGATCCCCAGACATCATCACACCCTGCGACTTTTTCTTGTGGGGATACGTCAAAGACCGTGTTGTTTTTGTGCCACCATTAGCGACTAATCTGGATGACCTCAAAAACAGAATCACGGCAGCGGTGACTTCAGTGGAAGAGAAGCCACTTTGAGAGGCGTTTGGGACGAATTCAACGATCGTCTCGATGTTGTCCGTACAGCAGGTGGAGGGCACATAGAGTATTTATAAAATGGTTAGTACAATTTGATAACTCATTAAACCGTTTGTAACTTTTTGTGTAATTGTAACATGTTGCCATCGTGAAATATACTGCTTTGAAATTGGTTCTATTATTTTAAACACCCTGTATTTCTTCCCTCAAGCTTTCGCCACGCACTGCTGCGACGCATATCCAGGAGCGAGAATTCGGTTGAAGACACCCGCATTGGGTGCGTGGCAAAAGCTTGAGCGTATTTGTTATATATTCTTGGTTCTTTCGGTAAAGTCACGTAGAAGGGAAATAATACAATAATATTAATATAAAAAATAAAAATTCTCACGACGTTTCGACTGGAACACAAGCAATCATCATCATCAGGTGTGAAATCCACGGCAAGAAAATTTGAAAAAATATTTTTTTTATTGTTTTATATTTCTATTATTTTATAATTACCCTTTTACGTGACTTTACCGAAAGAACCAAGAATATGAATCCCTGCAGTCACGAAAGCTTAAATCAAAATTTAGTATTTGTTATATCCTCTCAACAGGCATCAAACGCAACGCGTTCAGTCCGTGTACTCGTTAACCCTCAAATTCCCGGCACGCACTCTCAACTCTCAACATTTGCCCAGGCAACACTGCAGGTGACGCGGCACAAACTCGGGTGCAAGTGACCGATGCGAGATCGAAGACAATGAAGCGTGGGTTTGAGTTCACCTTTTTATTCGTTTCACATGCACACGTATCCACGGCGCGTTTCTTTCGCACCGTACGTATCCAACCGTGCTCATCGGAGTTGTTGCTGTGAGTGTGCTACCATCTACCTATTACTATATTTTGCCACCGGTAAAAGAGATGTCTCATAGTGTGCTACCATCGTTGTAAATGTATAAATGTATACCCCGAATCAAGTTTGTATACCCTGTATTTCGTCACCAACAGTCCCAATCTCAGAACTATTTATTTTTATTCAGTTTGAGTTTGGATATTTGCCGAGTTCCATTAATGGCGAGTGTTTTATGAGTGTGGAAGTATACTGGGGAGACAACACACGCACCGAGAGGGGGACACTCATAAAAAGTAGATCCGCACAAATAAATGCAACAATCCATTCGCTGTACCCGCATCTCATGGCCTCGTCGCAGCCCCATGCGGGTTGGTAGTTTCACGACGAATCGGCGGAGAATTGGCGAGCAATTGCGCTCTAGCGCGGAATACTGCCGCTCTGAAGACGAGTCACGGAGCCAAATGGGCAGCACGTGAGCCCCCCGAAGCTCAATCGTGATTGGTCGGATCAGTGATTCTCACTGCAGCGCCACAACGCTAAAGGTTTTATGGGATTTAAACCCCGCTGCGTGGACCGGACTGATAGCGGAGAGAGAAAAAAAAATCCCTCCGCTCATGTAAGTGCTTAGTCGCGTGCGACCGTGGTTTGCACGAATCTTCGCGGTTGTGGTGGCGAAGTGACACCACGGGCTGGGTTTCTACTTCACGAATTGACGGGGCTATGTCGAAGTCGGCATGCGGCTTCCGTGCTGGTGTTTGTGTTCAGACCCCCCACCCCCCGCTATTCACCAGCGCAGTGACCCGGGGCAGTATTTCTCCACCAGCGCTGTATAGTATGGTTTCAACTCCTCCACGTTGGGCAAATCCTCGCTCTTCGTGTACAGGTCGAATTTGCTGCAACATTATATTCGAAGAAGAAAAAAGAAAGATGTATAAATGAACAGGACATATACGTTGCGTCTTAAAGATTATTGAGAAGTTATGGTCAAACAACCGCCGCACATTACCAACCTCACCCAGCAGAGATGTGGCAAAATCACTCCGTGGATACGTTACCCTACATCCAGCGTCTGGATGTGGGTGAGAGGTTGGTGGGTGTGTTTTTTTTGTTATATTTTATTCATTCAGATGAATGGACGTATGTTGAACTTCTATCGGGCTATCATTTATTATATACTCTTTGGTTCTTTCGGTAAAGTCACGTGACTTTACCGAAAGACCCAAAGAGTATGGATTCCTGCAGTCACGAAAGCTTCAAATCACTGTCAGTTATTATAAAGTGGCTGGGAGGGGACCTCAACATCACTTTTAAGAAGCCACTGGAGCCACGCACTTTCAAATCAAGATTTGAAAACTCACTCATTGCTTGTTGTGTTTAGTAGACTCGTGTCAGACAGCTTGCGACTTAGAGGCCACACATTTCTATCGACAAAGATAAGAGCCATATCACTTTGGGATTAATTTTCAAGTGAGGCATGGGGGAAGGGCTTTGGACGTACGCGAGGTTAAGTCACGCCTGTCGGTTCCACGGGTGGCGTTGTTCGCTTGCAACGGAGCACACAGACCGCACGGGCACCTCTCGTTTGCTCTTCCGTGGCTTCGGCTTGCGTGTGAAGAGCGGGGCATTGTACAGCCCTGCAGCTTTCAGTTAAATTGCTTTTATGATACTAGGGGTTTTCCCCCTTATTTCTGGCAACAAAACTGAAACCTTTTTACAAGGATTCATGTCTGCATTAACCGCAATACTTTCAGTCAAAATGCAAAAAAAACATACTATGATAATATATGCATTGTCCTTGAAACTGATTGGTCCACACCAAGGGACGGCTTTCTTTTGAGCCTCGACCCAATTGGTGCTCGACCAGAGGACGCCAAAAGGCGGGGGATACTCTATTATTATATTTTGGTACTGGCAAAGGAGGTCTAATGATGATGATGATGCTTTTATGTTTGTACTGTTCGCCTTTTGGCGTTCTCTGGTCTGACACTGGTGAGACATCGCCGCGTTAAGAAGGCTGCTGTCTCTGGTGTAGGCCAATTCGTTTCAAAGCCAATGCCAGATATTATCAGAGCAAGTTTGTTTGCATGCATTGCCACAGGTACGTGTGGTTTATGCAGACTTGAAGCCTTGGTGTTTTGACCACCTTAACAACTGTTTTATTGCCAGATAGGGTAAAGAGCCTGTTCTCATATTTTTTCATGATTTCATTTCATTTTTCTGCAGCTGGGACTTTTAACGAACTGTCCGCCAGTAAGGGGGCGAGCGCGTTAGAATGATGGACGCGTTAGAGTGATATACGTGCGTAAGAGTGACGTGGACGCGTTAGAGGAGTGATGGACGCGTTACAGAGTGATGTACACGCGTTAGAGTGATGAAGGCGTTAGAGTGATGGACGCGTTATAGAGTGATGTACACGCGTTAGAGTGATGAAGGCGTTAGAGTGATGGACGTGTTATAGAGTGATGGACGCGTTATAGAGTGATGGACGCGTTAGAGTGATGAAGGCGTTAGAGAAGTGATGGACGCGGGACTCACTTGAACTCTCTCACCCAGGGCAGCATCGCCCTGTCCTGTTCGTTACACAGGTGGTCATAGTCACCGGCCGTGTGCCACGGGTAGAACGAGTGGTAGCGCACGATGTAAAAACCCTAAGGAGCGCAAAGGCAACAAGAAAGTATTTAATAATAGAGATTTATTTGGGTTAGATCGCGTAAATATGTAAATGTGTCGTTAAAACCAGCCACCACCCGACACAGCCAACTAGTGAGGGTTGTCACGTAAACAGAACGTGGCCAATTCGTCACGAGTACAGCACTACACCAGTGTGTTAGAGGACCAAGCCACAACATTTACCATCTGAGTACGACTGTCGGGGCAAGTGCTGTTAGCGAGCACCTATGAAGGCCGCAACGGCACACGAGGGGGTGGGGTGGCCAGCACCACGCCCGGCGACGTTTACGCATCGCACCCGTTGCTCATTTTTTTCAGGCTGAGTCGACCTAAAAAAGGCTCATTACCGGTTCAGAAGATCGTCACCGGTGTTGGCCGTGGCCGGGAATTGAACTCGAGTCGCCGGGTTCGTAGCGCAGCGCGCTAACCCCCCCCCCGCATCCGCTCACTCCAAGCATCTAGCGGGCAAAGACAAAGATCCCCCGTATAGCCTTAACAGACTTTGGGGCAAGTGCTGTTCGCGAGCATACGCATTTCACGCGACAGGTCACACCCCCCTGCTCCCGATGATGTTCACACGTGGTGCTGCCTTGCCGTGTACTATTCTGAGCTCACAAGTTTCTGTGCGAGTCCTTGCATCCTCTGAGTTGCTGCTTTCTCGAAAGAGTCCAGCTCTGCGACTCGTGCCTAACGGATTAACAGCAAGGCAAGGCTTCATCGCAACGGACGTTGTTTTTCTACTCCTACGCAAAGAGTCTGGCAGCGAAACGACTTCACCGTGGCGTAGAAACACCTGCTGGGGAGAGCTAAATAAAATAAATATATACAAAATAAATACTCTTTGGTTCTTTCGGTAAAAGTCACGGAGGTATACCGACGTGACTTTACCGAACCAAAGAGTATGGATTCCTGTAGTCACGAAAGCTTCACAACAAGATACAAAATAAAGTTTGAGCATTAAAAAAAAAGCATTACCACCTCCCTCGATCAGAATCTTCTCGTGATTGGAAACTCACCTCCTCGGGGATGGTGCACTCGTTGAACTTCAACACCCGGTACATGTACTCTGAAACAAATGGCAGACGGATGTTTTTTTATTTCTCACGAGTACACGCGAAAACAAAGTCGGCAAAGCAAAAAAAAACGTAACAGAGATTTTAGTTCATCGTCAGTCTGTGGGTCTTACGGACCAATATTTTCCAGCAGCGTTTGGTTTCGAGTTCTCTACGTCTCATCAGCAATACACAGATGCGGCTTGTCTCGAACGAAACAATTATACTCTTTGGGTCTTTCGGTAAAGTCACGTCGAAAGAAAATAAATTAAATAATAGAATACGACGTTTCGATTGCAACACAAGCAATCTTCATCAGGTATAACTAAATTTGAGAGATAGACAAAACACAGACACGGGGAAACAGAGACAGACACACAGACATACACACAAGTGTGTATTCAAGACGTGTGTCTGTCTTGTATTTTGTCTCTCTCAAATTTAGTTCTACCTGATGACGATTGCTTGTGTTGCAATCGAAACGTAGAATTTTATAATTAAATTAATTTTCTTTCTACGTGACTTTACCGAAAGAACCAAAGAGTCATTTCTGCAGTCACGAAAGCTTCAAATCAAGTTTGAAACAACAGTATTTAAACTTATTTTTTCTTGTCTTGCCCAATTAAACCCTCGTTGAGTGTCAATGATTTTTTTTTCAGGACGGTGCTGCTTGCATTCATAATACAAATTTGGGTTTATTTTTTTTGGGGTTAGATCGCGTAAATATAAATGCGTCGTTAAACCCGCCACCACCCGACACGGCCAAACAGGAAGGTTTGTCACGTAAACGTTGCAGAGTAACTCCAACAAACCGGCGTTGCTGTGCTCGTAACGAATTGGCGTGTTCTGTTTACGTGACAAACCTTACTATTTGGCCGTGTCGGGTGGTGGCGGGCGTAACGACACATTTATATTGACGCGATCTAACCCAAAACAAACTTGTATTATAGACGATATTGGTCGCGGGAGGCTACGCGTCAGGCTGCTCGCGTTGTGTGGCGACACCTTCTTGCTGCACTTTTTATCTTGGACGAAGAAAGCCGAAGCGTGCGGGGAGAAGAAACACAGCGTGCCGGACAGCTCGATCAGCAGCCTACTTTCTCTACTGCACCACCATGAGCACCTCCACACGGGCGTCTAGTGCAACATGAACAGTGCCGGCTCTCGGCTTCATTAAAACCCTTTTCGCCGGATAATGTACGTGCGTGTTTTTTTTTTACGTGACAAAATACATCGCGGGGCATTTTCTTAAGATGCAATAACTCGAGGCTGGATATTAAGCGGAACTCATATTAGCACGATTCTGGTATAAGCAACACACGCTTGTAACACCATTGGAACCTCATTTGCCAGTAGCAAAATATGATAATTGGTTTTTTACACTTTTATCTGGGAACAAAACTGACACCTTTTTTACAATGAGTCATGTTTGTAATTGACCACAATGTTATGTTTAATCTGGTCCAACACCATGTGAGACTAGGCTCTAAAGAAAGCTGTCTCGGGTGTGGACCAATCAACTTCAAGGACAGTGCATACATTATCAGAGTTATGTTTTTTTGTTTGCATTCCGACTGCAGTTATTGTGGTCAATGCAAACATGACTCCTTGTAAAAAAGGTGTCCGTTTTGTTGCCAGATAAAAGGGTAAAAAAACAATTAACACACGCTTGTAACTTCTGAAACAAGGCACGCTCTCCTGCGGATGTCAGGACACCGAGCCCTGCCCGCTGTGAGCTTCTGCTGTAACAATGAGTGTGTGCCACACACGCCGTCTTACCATCGTGACCCCACGACATGGAGACTTTGTCCAAGCCGCAGTTGGGCTCGTATATGCCGCAGAGAGTACTGCAAATGGGTGGGGAAGCCAACAGCCTTAGTTGAGAATACGTTTTTTATGTACGCCATTAATGAAATTATCCAGCTGTTTTAATGAATGTACTTTTCACGATTAATGCCGTTCATTGGCGCCTGGTCGTGGGGTTAATTGTTAACAAGCAGACCGCTCCGTATACATAAGCCGAACGTTACAGTAGACAGCACGCTTAATTAGTCTCTTTATATATTATTCTTCATTTTTTTCCCTCCGTATTATTCTACGAGCAAGGGATTTGCCTCCGAACGGCCACGTTGCATAAACTCCCACTGAATCTGGTTTAATTAGTGGTGCACTAGGGACGCGACCAAGGTGACACGCGGGGTCACTTCTTCATTAACTCCGGAGAAGCTTATTCTGGAGAGTTTATAACGTCATTAAAGCTATTAAGCTTCATGCCCTCGCCCCACTATTCCCACTGGTGACTCCGTCTCAAGAAGGCTCCCTTGCGCCAAGGTTGTGTGACAACAGCGGCATGAAGCACAACTACTGCGTCGGAAAGACAGCGTCTGAATTCAGACGCTGTCTTTCCGACAGACCTGTTCTTCACCTGAGGACGGCTGCTTGCGTTGTGGCCGAAACGTCGTGAGAATTATTTTATTATGTTTTATTTTTATTATTTCCCCAAGAAGATGAATCCCTGCAGTCACGAAAGCTTTAAATCGAAATACTGCGACCTACTCTGTGAACAGCGTGTGCGTAATCCCACAAACTGTTGCGTGATGATGCCGATCAGTAGAACAATGCCAAACATTTACCCAGAAAAGCCTCACTGAGTCGCTAGACTTCCCGTTGTTGTTTTTTTTAGGAAGTGGGGGGGGGGGGGTCCTCCTTTTTTGGGATAGATGGCCACTGCTATGAACGAGGTGTGCAACGAGTGGGGAGGATATCTTGAGACCCCAGAGAACACCCACCACGCATCAGAGGGTGTGATCCTCAGCACCGCTATCTCCTCCTTCCCGCACCTTGCCCGACAGCACTTGGCAAGCCCCCAGTGATCAATCGTGTAAGAACCCTTGTCAAGTATTACCATGTTACGGCGCTATAGAAATTGTTATACTGGTAGGAACCACCTGGTTCCACCAGCCCACAGGGGATTATTGTATCCGTCCGTCTGTCGTGCAGGGAAGGGCTGGGGAGGATGGGGAGGGGCTGGGTGGGGAGGGGCTGGGTGGGGAGGGTGGGCTGGGAGGGGAGAGTGGGGAGGGGATGGGTGGGGAGGGTGAGGAGGGGCTGGGTGGGGAGGGTGGGGCTGGGAGGGGAGGGTGGGGAGGGGCTGGGTGGGGAGGGTGGGGAGGGGCTGGGTGGGGAGGGTGAGGAGGGGCTGGGTAGGGAGGGTGGGGGGTGGGCTGGGTGGGGCTGGGTGGGGAGGGGCTGGTCACCCCGTGGTGCCCTTATAAAACTCAACGTTTAACCTAATCACGCCGGCTTGTGCCCGCCCTCACAGTCGGGCATATTTGCGGAATACACCACGCCGCCGTTGACCCTGGCCATTGACCGAGCAACCCAACGTTCCTACCAGCTCCCTCCACAGGAATGTCTTTCTTAACCGGCTAAATGCTGATTAGCTTCCAATATCTAGGCACTCCTTCCACTGGGCGATGGGCTGCATGCCTTACGACTTTCGTGTATAGTGTAAATGTGAATTGTGGCCCGTGCATAATCCACAATGAGTGTCACGTTGCATTTACTTGTAGCGCGCGTCGTGTGAGTCCGGGTTATCTTGGAAAGTGGAGTCTCTGTAGACGATCGATTTCTGGAATGCGCATCCAACTGGAAAGGTATCTCCAACCACGCACCACTGGAGGCAAAAGGATTCACACATTCACTCAACTACAACAGCTGTGTGAGATACCGCCATGAGAGGTCAACAGCTGTGTGAGATACCATGACGAGAGGTCAACACCTGTGTGTGACACACGGCAAGAAGTCAACAGCTGTGTGATACCACAGCGAAAGGTCAACAGCTGTGTGAGATACCGCCACGAGAGGTCAACAGCTGTGTGAGATACCACAGCGAGAGGTCAACAGCTGTGTGAGACACCACAACAAGAGGTCAACAGCTGTGTGAGATACCGCCACGAGAGGTCAACAGCTGTGTGAGATAGCACAGCGAGAGGTCAACAGCTGTGTGAGACACCACAGCGAGAGGTCAACAGCTGTGTGTGACACCACAGCGAGAGGTCAACAGCTGTGTGAGACACCACAGCGAGAGGTCAACAGCTGTGTGTGACACCACAGCGAGAGGTCAACAGCTGTGTGAGACATCACAGCGAGAGGTCAACAGCTGTGTGAGACACCACGACGAGAGGTCAACAGCTGTGTGAGATACCACAGCGAGAGGTCAACAGCTGTGTGAGACATCACAACAAGAGGTCAACAGCTGTGTGAGACACCACAGCGAGAGGTCAACAGCTGTGTGAGACACCACAGCGAAAGGTCAACAGCTGTGTGAGATACCACAGCGAGAGGTCAACAGCTGTGTGAGACACCACAACAAGAGGTCAACAGCTGTGTGAGACACCACAGCGAGAGGTCAACAGCTGTGTGTGACACCACAGCGAGAGGTCAACAGCTGTGTGAGATACCACAGCGAGAGGTCAACAGCTGTGTGAGACACCACGATGAGAGGTCAACAGCTGTGTGAGACACCACAACAAGAGGTCAACAGCTGTGTGAGATACCACAGCGAGAAGTCAACAGCTGTGTGAGACACCACAGCGAGAAGTCAACAGCTGTGTGAGACACCACAGCGAGAGGTCAACAGCTGTGTGAGACACCACGATGAGAGGTCAACAGCTGTGTGAGACACCACAACAAGAGGTCAACAGCTGTGTGAGACACCACAGCGAGAAGTCAACAGCTGTGTGAGACACCACAGCGAGAGGTCAACAGCTGTGTGAGACACCACAGCGAGAGGTCAACAGCTGTGTGTGACACCACAGCGAGAGGTCAACAGCTGTGTGAGACATCACAGCGAGAGGTCAACAGCTGTGTGAGACACCACGACGAGAGGTCAACAGCTGTGTGAGATACCACAGCGAGAGGTCAACAGCTGTGTGAGACATCACAGCGAGAGGTCAACAGCTGTGTGAGACACCACGACGAGAGGTCAACAGCTGTGTGAGATACCACAGCGAGAAGTCAACAGCTGTGTGAGACACCACAGCGAGAGGTCAACAGCTGTGAGAGACACCACGACGAGAGGTCAACAGCTGTGTGAGACACTACAGCGAGAGGTCAACAGCTGTGTGAGACACCACAGCGAGATGTCAACAGCTGTGTGAGACACCACAGCGAGAGGTCAACAGCTGTGTGAGACACTACGACGAGATGTCAACAGCTGTGTGAGACACCACAGCGAGAGGTCAACAGCTGTGTGAGACACTACAGCGAGAGGTCAACAGTTGTGTGAGACACCACGGCGAGAGGTCAACAGCCGTGTGAGACACCACGACGAGAGGTCAACAGCTGTGAGAGACACCACAACAAGAGGTCAACAGCTGTGAGAGACACCACGGCGAGAGGGCAACAGCTGTGAGAGACACCACAGCGAGAGGGCAACAGCTGTGTGAGACACCACGACGATAGGTCAACAGCTGTGTGAGACACCACGACGAGAGGTCAACAGCTGTGAGAGACACCACAACAAGAGGTCAACAGCTGTGTGAGACACCACGACGAGAGGTCAACAGCTGTGTGAGTGCCACGGCAAGAAGCCAGAGAGCCGCACGCGGCTCCGAAGCCACCGCAGCTTTTGCCAACCCCCCGAGCGAGTTGGTGTCCGCGGCATGCGCGTGGACCTCACCTGGGGCTCTCCCCAGCGGGCCATGATCTTCCCGAGGTCGTGGATAAGGCCGACGAGCTGGAGCCAGTCTGCAGGAGAATGAGCACAGCAAAAACAAGCAGTGAACGTTTGTGTGATGCGATGCACAAGCAACCCCACACCCCCCCCCCCCCCACCCATCCATGCGTGAGTACAGAGTCTCAACTATCACAGACCTTCAAGCACTCTCACGTTGGCCGACCTTTTCGGTCGGTAAATATCAACTGAATTATTATATTTCAATTATTTACATCTGTCTGTCAATTCACTGTTGAATTAAAGCCACCCCCTCCCTCCCCCCCCCCCCATGCTGTATCAGTCATGGAGGTTGTTTGACCATACTTCCCCAAGCTGGTTATTGTGGGTTGTTGAAGGAGGGGAGGACCTAGGACCGCCGTGAGCCCAGCAACCTGAATTTGATTCCAAAGCCGGGCGAACATCAGTGGAAAGTGATGTCTCAACTGGTCCTGAGCCCTACCCCTTCACCAAACTGCAATGGCCAGCGTGGTGAAGTATGGTCAAACAACCCCCATGGCCAACACTGCACGTGAAGAACCTGCAGTAGAGGATATAACACAGGGCTGTCAGCTGTTATTATCAAGACAAACTAAACCATGGTCTTTAACGACATCATCTAACCTATAAAGAGCAAGTACATAAATGAGTGAAATAAATTGACCTCTTTTCTATTTCTGCACATGAACATTATATTAACAAGACTTACATTCACTGGCACCGACTATGGATTAATATCGGCCGCTGTAACATAAATTCTCACCCATCGGTTACAGGCCATGGACCAGAGCATTACTGTGGTGGCAAATCTTTAGTGGTACCAATCTTTCTTTTATGACCATAAAGTGAACTATGCGACAACTTACGGATGTGAAAAGTTTATCACAGCGTTAACTTTTATTGGCCACGCAAAGACGTTGGTACAATTTAAACCCTAAACTTTTATTTGTCAACTTTGTAAAAAAAAATGTTTTAGAGCGATGCAAAATATTCTTTAACTGTTTTACAAGTCAATATTTTCTGCCTGTTCTGTACTCTGAAACATGACTACATATAAAGTATTTAATAAAATTGTAGCCTATTGTAATATGTTTGTATTCTAGGGGATGATACATTTTCATCTGTTTATACAAAATAATAATTGCTGAAACCACTCTAGTTTTACCAAGTCATGCTGTACGCATTTGTGATGGACTGAACTCATAAGTGCAAGATAATACGCGTTCAGACTTACTTAGGATGAAGCAAAATAAATATTTATATATCTGGATCAAACAAAGCTACATCATAACTATTTATGAGCGCAGCACTCTTCATTTAGATGAGACCCTGCTGATAATTGTAAAAAGTTGAGTCGTCACCGACACTATTAGACCGGGTTTTTGTTCTGGGCCAATGGACTGCCATTGTTGTACCATATGCTTGGGTCTTTCGGTAAAGTCACGTAGATAGGTTCAAATAAAAATAATTGCAACACAAGCGGTCGTCTTCAACACAAGCGGTCGTCTTCAGGACCCTTTTCTTGTTTTGTGATCAAAACGTCGTAGTTTTTTTTGTTATTTTAATTATTTTTCTTTGAGCCTATCTACGTGACTTCACCGAAAGACCCAAGAATATGAATTCCTGCAGTCACGACAGCTTTAAGTCAAGATCGCTGTACCATGTCCTGCACTACCACTAGGAAGAGGGCCGGATCGGTTCGAGGAACCAAACTGATCGGCTCGGACCTGGGTTTATCAAACAGTGGGCGACCGGGGGTGAGTCGGGGAGGACGCAGAGCCTTGCGGTCCGGATGCGTGCCACGCTGTCAAAGCCAGACCCGAAATGGATCGACGAGTCCTGGGTCACCAAACACGGGTTTAAGACGCGGTGGGTCGAGGAAACGCGGCACTTGTGTCTTTATCTTTTTAAATCCTTTATATTAAGTTCACTTGCTTGCTTGCTTGCGCGCTTACGACCGGGCAAATCTTCCGATCGTTTTTTAACCCACTTCCCGTGATCCAATCGAGCTGATATTTTGCACACAGACTCGTTGTGCGTGACAATTTATTTTCGTGAAAAAAATTTCCCAAAATTTTCCACTTTTTAGGGAAAAAAAAAATCATATTTAATTTAAAATACCAATGTGATAAAAATGAAACTCTTACTCAAGAAAAACAGAAATGAATAATAAAATAAAACCGATGCCATGCATATAAAGGATTTATAGTGAAAAACTTCGTTTTTACGGGTTATTTTTTTTTGTGTTGGCGAGCACACGGACCCTTGTCCGGGTGAGCCTGGCGAATGGCCTCCGCCGTCTGGTACGCGTGGAACGAGTTGGGGAAGTCCACGTCCGGGTCCGACTCGTCCACCATCAGGTCCATCTCGGCGAGCGCCTTCATGATGCTCATGCGCGTGCGCTCCATGCGGCCCCACTGTGCGTACTGCGGGGACGGCGGCAAGGGTGGCATCTCGCAGATTCATCACGTGCACATTATCTCTAGCCTGACAATTTACGTGCAACATCTGTCACATTTCTAGCCTGACAATTACGTGCACATCTGTCACATCTCTAGCCAGAAAATGCACCCATGAGTTGCACTTGAAAAACTATTCAACGGGCTGCCAGGCCAATCCATTAAGGGAACCTTTTGAGGGTTGTCGGCGGATCGTAAATATGTTGTGAAACTCCCTTCCCGTGTGCGGAGAGATGTCATAACCCTGACTTTCCAGGAGAGGGCATTGCAGCAAATATGTGGACCTCACTTATTCGCTCTGTATGGACGAGTGTTTCCAACCAAGCATGTGTGGGTTTGTTATTCTGGGAGCTCCGGTTTCCTCCCACTCATTAATTGCCCAATAACATCTTAATACGTAGGGGACGGCAGAACGTGGGCAATTGTTGGTCGCGCTGGTTCAAGCTTGTCTGTGGTTCGTCACTCCTTCCAGTTGTTCTTGCTCCACAAGAGCGAGCGAATACTCTTGCTGCGCGTTAAGTTGAACTTATTCATTGTTGATAAAAACTAAAATTGGAGATTCTACCGTGCAAAGAGAGGTGGACATGAAAGCACGTGGATGTATGTACGTGCATCGTAGAGTAGGTGCACCAAGCATGTTAGTACTCAGCATGTTACGTTTATTGTAAATATACGTAAATGGACACTTTATTTTGCTAATCTACAGATCAAGAAATCAGTATTGGAAGCTTGTGTCGTACGAATCAATTCTCCTTGGATCGTCCAATGGCTAGAGAAATACGCAGCCTATTGACCTCACGTAAATAAAGAATTTGCCCAATATCACAAATATATCTACACCAAAAAACGAAACCTTGAGGTCTCATTGAGAATTTGATCACACGATAGCTCTTTGGTCCCGCAGGCACGATTCAGTACATCAACTCCTCGAGATGCAATGCACACTTTCCTGCAACATCAATGACTAACCGTGGTTAGTATTAACCAGGAACGATGTCAGGTTGTCGAGACAATTGCCCTTTTGGACTGTCGGGACTTTTCCTTTTCTTGGTTTACAACAAAGATTCGCCCGGCGTATCGCCTTTGACAGACTGTTGGGGCAAGTGCTGTTAGCGAGTAGCACCTATAAAGGCCGGCACGGCACACAAAGGGGATGGGGGTGGCCAACACCATTCCCGGCCGCCTTTGTCTCCCTAGTGGTGATGTTTACATATCCCTCATTTGAGACCGAGTCGACCTAGGGGAGGCCCATGCCTAAGTTCAGAGAATCGTCACCGGTGTAGTGCCGTGAGCGGGAATCGAACTCGGGTCTCCGGGCTCGTAGCGCAGTGCGCTAACCGCTACACCGCCGCTCCCCGCACTTATCTGCAACGATGACCTCAAAAGTCGTCACCTTTTTACGAACGAGCTCCACGGTCTGGTAGGTGTGCATTTCTTTATACGTTTTCTTGATGCGTTCCTGCAGCGGGCCATTCTGAAAGGTGGGGGAACGCGTGAAGAAACGAATGGGCAGTCAGTTCCTAGACACTTGGCTATTCTTGCAGGCATACAGAATCTCTTAAATCGGTGGCACCTCATCTATGTATGTACGTTGAACTTCTTTCGCACCGTACGTAGCCACCCGTGCTAATCGGAGGTGCTACTACAAGTCGCTCAAAGGAGGACTGGATTGCAAAAGCAAAGAAATACGAAAGCAGGTGCACAGCAACAGTACTGTACAACAATCGTAAAACACGAGGTGTAAAAAAATACACGTAATATCCTGAAACTAGGTGGATGTGAGATCAGATAGGAACAGTTGCAAAGGAATACAATTCACGGAGAAAAAAAATCACGAGTCTACGTGAACGCGTCCGAGAAACGAGAGACTCAAGAGACGGAACGATGAAATCGCCTCGTGTGCCGGTGCTGAGGGGTGGATTCTGGCACGGCAGGATCGTGAAAGATGCGGGGGCATCTTGGGGAGGCCTTCATCCAGCAGTGGATTGCAAAAAATATGCCTCAAAGTTAATTGAGATCAATTTTGGCAGCGCAGTGGAGGCTTTTTTTTCCAGGGTCTTACCTCAAAGTTTCGGAAGTGCTCCTTGTTGGATTTGCTACATAGGTCACCGATGTCTGGCCGATAGACATGCGATGGATCAATGAAGTTCTGCAACAAATAAACACGCGCGCGCGCTGTTTAGCAAGCGAAACATTGACGGGCAATTGCCCAGAATGAGCCGTCTGGGCGACACAAACAAGGGGGGGTTGACCTCGCACAAAGGGCCCCCTTGTCAAGACACGTGCGGTGCGTAACGAGGCATCGACTTCGTTTATCCCAACGGCGCTCTTTTAGTGTGGGTGTGTGTGTGTGTTCACGGGTTTCACGCATTGGATCTGGGTGCAGCGGGTTACATGTTGGACAGAGTGTATGCGAGTGCGACTTTCATGGCGGCAGAAATGCTCGGAACTGGACAGACGAGACAGAAGAAATGTGAAATAATAGACGGTTTTAAAAAAAGAAACGGAAAAAAGGCATTTTTCTGAAATGCAAATCTCAACCCTGATTGGTGGCAATCCATCAAACCGCCGTCATCAAGTGCACGGCTAGAATGTGTATACGTTTGAAGCAAATTCATGATCAGCCGTGATCAAACCACCGATGGATGAATAACCCCCCAAAAAAACCACCATCCTCTTTCAAGTCCCACGATGAAACAATCCACCCCACACCCGCAACTCTTAATTATCAATCCCACAGACACGAGCGGGGATGCTTGCTGGGTTATTAAATTGCAGAGAAGTGATCTGGCGACTTGACTTTGGGAGGTTTTCCTCCCACTGGCAGATTTGACCGTGGCTGATGATGATGATTAAAGCCAGAAATCACCCCAACACGTGACCGTAATCAGCATCCCTTAAGATCAAGTCAAACTGTCAGCGTTCGCAAAATACAATGCGATATTCTTGTGCCGTCAATATCTCTGCACAAGTCCATTGTCTTGATAAATTGTCACTCACCTTGACCCGCATATTCGCGTGGTGCCAGATGGACACTTCGGAGAGCAGTGGATGGGCGTCCTAGATTTACAACTCCAGTTAAATAGCGGCGATATCGCTGACCATTTCAAATGCGTGGTTTAAAATTAACGCATTTCGAGGTCTCTCTTATTAACGCGACGATGTTACTTAGTCATCTATGGCATGGGGTGGGCCAGCTTTCGATGCTCGAGATGAAGTTGGCTGTAACGCTCAATTGAGCACATCGTCTGAAAGGATGTTACAAAATCTCGACATATCGTTCTCACCTTTGGCCATTGACGAGACTCGCTCCCAACTCGTCGTGTCTCTCCGTTCAGATTTTGGTTACAAAACGTTGGGAGGGTCGCAAGCTTTGTCACGCTTTTCGGGAGTTAATATGGATGTTCCATTTTGTAACTTAACTTGCAACAAGTGAAAAGTGCTGACGTGACTCACCTTCGATGCACAAGACGGACCGTTACAAAATCCTTATGTAAGCGTATTTGTGAACACATCTTGCAAAGTACTCAATTGGAAATCATGGCACACGCACACAAGTGGCCATTTTTATATTTTATTTGTTCTTTATGAACACATAACATTAGCTTAAAAAACCCCACTTAACTGCACCATATATACTGTACTTTTAGTAACAAAGGGAAACATAAAGACCTCTATCACAACTATGTACACTTTAATTACATGAAAATTAAACAACTCAGGTAGCATACGACCAGTTATAAACACAAGACTTTCTACACAGAAGCTTACACCCCGCATACAATTACTGTAAAGTCTGAAAATCTGTGACTGCTGCAATGGTTATAAAGCAGCAAATATAGATGGCTCTATATAGAACTCCACTCCCAACCACGAGTTATGACACTAATAACGTTATCAAAGGAAGACCAAGGCAACATTAATAAAATTATCAACATTGTAAAATAAGTCATAAATATACAAAACAAAAAAAGTACACTTTTATACATGCACATTATTTCTGTACAAAACGTGTAACTGCTAATAAGTAAATACTGACCCTCTCTAGTGGTGCTATGCTTTTGGCTATTCCACACACTGAGAACATTCATTCGTAAATGATGGCGGCGGGGGTGGTGCGCAAATGTAGTAAGAATTCAGCTGATCACGGTAACGTTCGGGATGCTAGGCGAGGTTCATAAAACGAGGCAGTCTGCACGTGGACATCATCATCATCGTAGTCGACACACACCAACACGTGCTTCGCAAGGACATCGACACGATCTTATTGGTCCAGGTATGAGGCGCGAGTTCAATTCTACCGGTGGTGGTGTCCTGTGTACCCCGGTGCCATTCACCGCCCACGTCAAGTTGTGGCCAGTCAAGGCAAGTGAAAACTGTATGAAAACAATGTTTCGACAACCGCATTAGTCACACCTGACGATGGGCAATGGATGGACACGCAAACGTTCCTCTGTGCTCAACTCGCACCTCGGTCCCTGTGCGATGTGCAGGAATGGATTACGGAGGCCCCTTTAATTTCCCAAACTCGGGTGCAAACGCGAGTGGCTGCAGAGGCGGAGGCGGCGGAGGTCAGGGCGGCAGAGATGGGGCTGGCAGTCCATTTGTGCCCGAGCGTTGGAATCCACCCAGTGTGCCACCACCTTTGTACGGGAGCATTTTTGATTGGTCATTTAATGGCTGACCTTCAACAGCAACATCACTCGCCGTTTTCGTTCGTGCGCACAAATCATTTCACAACCGCAAGTTTTAACGGCCAAACTCCAACCCAGTGGCCGGTTTGGCCCCAAGACCACAGTGCAGCATCCGTAACGCATTACATAAAGCAGTGCTTTTGAGCCGTTAGATGGAGGAATGTTGGCCAAGTGGCCGATGGCCACAACACTCAAGTGTCACCTCTACCAACGAGGTGTTCATCACAACACCGAAACAACCCAGACCCCACCCACCCAGTCAAGCTTTCCATTGGAGCCAACTGACGGTTGTGCAGAACGTATAATCACAAATCACATGCGAATGAAGAACACAAATAATAACTTTGCTGGACTGTATACCGGGGACTCTTTTTAACTGCTGCCTTAGACTGTAACAAGCACTCACTACAGGTGGGTTGCACTTAATTCCATAGGTGACTCGCATTACAAGAGTCTATCCCGACCGGGTTAATCCTACTGTGAATATCACTCCAAATGTCAGGGGGTGGGATGGATAACAAAACATAATCCTGACTATCAGAGCAGAATGCTTCTCCCAATTGATACCGTGCACCATATAAAGCATGCTGACCCAAGTTCTTTCACAAGACAGGGTGGTAAGTTTGACCTCTAACGTGTGTCAACATTGCACGTGTGCCAACGGTGTAAAATCAGACTCTTTGGTGGGCTGCGCAAATGTTACGTATAGGTTCTCGCATTGAGAACACTGGCTCACATTGTGTTTCTTTGTCCAATGGATGTTGGGGGTGGAAAGGTAAACAAGAGACGTGCAGGATTTTTCACCTGTAGCCGTTTTATAGGCCGATCACACGAAACCAGTGGCTTTCGATGGCACATAACTGCACCATGGTAAGCATCCACTTAATACAATATGTTCACAGACGACAGCTTAGCCGTGACATTCATAAAGAGTTTAAAAAGGTGGAGTAAAAATCCAAATAAAAAAATACATATCTGATCCGACACCTACTGATTGTAACGATCTTGCCTACACTGGCCAGATTTGAGGCAAATCACATTTCCATTACACAATGCAACGAACATTTCCAAAAATCCATCTGTGTCTAAATGAAAACGGACACTTTGGGTAAAACAGCTGGGGTTTAAAACTCATCACACCTTTTTGCAAAAGGTGACTAAAGCGACATGAACGTAAGTGTGCATTTCTCGAATATGCTCTTGCTCTCTGTATAATGACAGAGTGGTACTCAGTGCAGGTGACTCCAGTGCTGGACGGTTGATCGTTGGCTACATTTACAGGTTAACATGCAAACATGAACGTCGCTGCCTCATCTCTTGCAATTGATGACGGCAAAAAAAAACCAAGATGAATCTAATTCTGCAAGAAGCAAGCAGGCAAGGTTCGTGTTGGCGTGATTTCGTGTGCACATGGTTAATGCAGCCATCATTCCGTCAAGATGGTCCTACAGTTTACACACAGTCGGGGTCAGAGGGCGGGTCGCGGAAAGGAAGAAATCTGGGCTCTACGCATCAGAGATGCAGCCCTGAATCTTGTCAATCCACTGCTGTGCCAGCTGTGCATCAGGTGCGTAGAAGTTGTAAACACGTTTTGTGGTTTTAAGCTGCAAAACACAATGGTGAGAATTACACAAGCGATTTAGTCAGCAAGCCGATTGTCAAGCAAGAGTTCTCAGCTGCTCACGACCGGCAAAATACTCAAACCCATAAGGAGCCATTTAAAAAAATATAAGCAACAGTCCACAAAAGAACACCGTTGGGTATGATGAAACCGATTATAAGGTGGTGAATGCAAAACAAGTAACAATGCCAGATTACGTGTCAATACTTAACACCACCAATTAAGAGAACCGTGTTTTCCAAACTTTATTGGTGACCCATAAAGATGGTATCTCTGCGCAGGGGTAGATGATTACTGGGTGACAAAAGTGGCGGCGGTGGCTTGCTCACGTCAAAGAAGGCCTTCTCATCCACGGTCTTGGGCGCTCCGAGACTGGGCGTCCCCACTGCCACACTCTCCACCTCCGCCAGGTCGATGAAGCCCTTGCAGGTCATGTCCTCATAAGAGTCGTAGTAGCGCAGCTGTGGTGACGAAGGGCGAAGATAATGATGTTAAGTACAGCATGGCAGGGCGGTGTACCACGATGATCTTAGTACACTTTTGTTTGAATGTTAAAAATCACTCATGGGGGCTAAAAGCCAGAGGATTATATTCCCTCAACTATTACACTACGCTTTCTGCTAAGGAATGTGCTTAAATAATTTATTCATATGAGTGGCAGTGGTTACATGTATCCAATAAAATGGAGCACAATGACGTAAATGCTGGTTTTAAGGACTTAGCGCCTCCACATTCCGAAGGTTCTGTTCAAACTCACCATGCACCTAAGATATGCGTCAAAGTGTACAGAGCCACGTCATTGCGGACCCTTTACCTCCATTGGGCCATTCCACCGAAGCGAAACATAACAAACACATCTCGACGATGCTATGTGCAACCCCGCATGAAGACCACTGCTGACGGCTTATGAAAATTCACGGTAAATTGGAAATCAATTTCTCAATGCTCACGGACACGCCGACGCCTTGTTATTATCTAATATGCCAAAACATCCGATGTACCTGACGTCAACATACCTAGATTTCATGGGAACATTCCTTTGTGTATGTGTGCATACGCGTTCACAAATGCATGCAAGTATAGGTAATGCAGCTCATAAGATTACCTGATGCTTGGTTTTGTCCAGAACAAATAACCTCTGTTTCCATCCCTTAAGCAAGGCTCCTCGTTTAAAGAGAAAGCCTTCAAAAGACCTGAAACAAAACAACAAGAAAAAAGTTCATGGAGGCTGTGGTAGCCTATTATGAAAGTCCAATGCATATAATACAATATATGCCAACAATTGATGGAACGGTTTGAGCAATAGCTTGAGTATTAACACGTTTTTTTGAACAGCAAGGTGTCGTGATCTGTTACTATGTCACCTTAAAGCTCAACTTCTGGAAAACAAACGTGTCAAATGAGCAGCTGCTGGGGTGAATGATTGATTGGAAGCGCAAGCGTGCCCCCCCCCCGCCGCCACCAACCTGTTTTCCGTGTCATTCGAAGGGAACATGTTGTAGTAGGCCGACGACATCTGCGGGACGTTACGCCGACCCAGCGTGCTGGAGGCCGGAGCGACGACGGACGCTCGTTCAGACTCGGCGAGAAACGGCGGCCCATCTCGTGCCGGCGAGAACCCGGCTGCCGAGCGAGGGCGTCCGGCCATCCCCGCCGGCAGCGGCACGCGCCTCTTCTGTGGACGGACGCGCGGTGCCGCGGATCCACCCAGCAACAACCGGCAATAATGGGGGAATGAAACGCACACGTCGGCACCACCAATGGTTAGTTGATTGGCAGGTCGCATGCGGTGGGGGAAAGGGTGGGTACTCCAACCCTCTTTCAAGAACGTCTGGCCACTGTGAAAGTTAAGGTCAAATAAGCCATGGAGAGACCATCTAGAGTTCTGTCAAGTGGAGGACCTTCTGGCAGCAGTGATATAAGAATGAATTTGCAGGGCTGCGTCTTTACCGATCAGAAACCATTAACGCCAACCGTGACTCATTTACTGATGACAACATCCTGCTTTATGCTGTTACATTTTAAATATGTACAATGCTTAAGAAAAAAAACAGTAAACATTACTTCTATTTTCATTTGATTCACATGTATGATTGCAGAAACAACTATTTAATTTCTATATATATAACAAATCAGTCAAACTATAATTCTTCAGCACATGTGTGTTAACACAAGAACAGCAGGCTAAGAATTATAAACTTCTCACACCAAAGTGTCAGCATGGAAGGTTGTAAAACAGCAAAGAAAACATAGTTGATCGTCACTAATGATTTGTGCATTGTACCAGCTGAGGTTTGGTCTTTGGCGCAACTTTGACTTTGTCCCAAGTGTCCTTCCAGCGCTCACTGCTTGGCTTGAGTTCAGCTTCCAAATGCTCTATCTCCTGCATCCACACACGTAGCAAGGATTTACCATGACCGTAATTTAAGGGGTTTCAACAATGAAAATTAATTAAACTCCCACAGTAGTGCGCTCGTTCGTGCAATAAAACTGTCAAATACGTGCGGTGTGGTTATACACTTGTGGTGCCAAAAAAGCCACCGTGTCAGCTGTACAAACTGAAGTTCTACTTTGCAATGATCTTTTAAAGTACCAGGAACGGGAATGCTGACATGCCAGCAATCTTCGCAAGTGGCGATGTTGGTGGTCACGAATGCTGACAAAAGTGAAATTAACGCTAATGCACAGCATTGGCGCTGCAACATGAACACCGCCAAGGTTATGGGGGAAAAAAAACCCCATTAAATACACACGTTCGCACACTTCACCCATCAGCGCTCAGGCCCCGTGAATGCCTCTCCAACCTTGCAGACCTTACCAGCAGCAGCTGCGTGATGGCGTCCGGCTGCAACTTGGCCAGGTTGCTGTAGCAAGGCCACACCGTCTTGCGCTTGCTCTGTGGCACGGTCCCGTCCGGCTGCTCCACCTCGCTGGCCACGTCGCAGCGCCCGTTGATCAGCTCCCAGTCGAAGGAGGGCCCCTCGCCGAGGCTCTCCTCCACGTAGTAGTCCCACACTCGGAGGCAGGCTAGCATGCTGAATGGTTGCAGCACCTGCAAGGGGGGCGCACGCGAGCGAACCCGGCGATGCACATTCACACGCAACAAGCTGTGGTCTTATGTTGGCTCTCTCAGACGCCAACGTGGCGTTGGTTGTTTTCATCTGCGGCAGGTGAAAGCAACCACGACAAACAAGTAAACAATGATAACATCAACACACCCAGACACCGCAAAAGGTGTTTTTATCAGTATTTGAATAAGATGTTAAATAATCTTCTTTACAAGTAATACTATATTCGGTACTGTTATCACCATTACCACAACCGTTTCTATCATATTTACTCTTTACTTAATGTTTCTACTCGATTCTGATGGAGGCAAAGGAAATACAACTTCGATTTTAACGAGGTGTCGGCAAAATGTTGAAAGCTCGATGTACGTATGTTACTGTCAATATTTACAAGTTTTAGCTTGGGAGCTCAACACCATAATGTCCACGTCTAAATTCTGAGCCAATAACTACTGAGATCAGGACCTCTGCCAACTCAAGTTCTAAAAGGTTGTCATGCATATCATGTTACTGATGATGGAAAAACCTTATTAAATTGTCCAATCTCAGAGGCTATCAGGATTAAGTCTTGTTCAGTACTCAGATGGGTGTTTGGCTGGGAATACCACGTGTTGTATGCTTGGCCTGTGAGATGGCCATGAGATGGCAAGATTGAAATAAAGTCTTGAATCTATTTTTACAGAGCTTTGCGTGTTACCCCCTTGTACTCAAGAGTTTCCTCCAGGTACTCTGGTTACCTCCCACAAGCCAAACTCTCTCATGAATGGAATTGGCCCAACATCCCAAAGTGTTAAGACTCGGTGAGGCTTTCCTGGGTAAAATATATTATTACTTATATTATATATGTGGTCTTGGTGCTATAGCTAAGTGCAAACAAAAGACCCATTGCAAAATGAGGTAAACGTGTGTCATTTCTTCCAGTGATCAGCACTCAATCAACCACCAAGTCAACTACACAAAGGAGCAGTGTAGCCCAGTACGTGCTGATAATGTGGACCCCTATTGAAAGGCATCCAGGAGAAATATTGTGGTCTTGTGATGTCTTCCATGAACATTCGTCGACAATGACTGCTGTCAGTAATGTATTCCAGATCAGATTAGGGTAAAGCGTGGCACTCATAGACACCCACACACACACAGGGTGGATGCGGTGTCGGTCACCTCTTCGCCATCAGCGGGCATGTACATGTAGTTGTAGAAGACGGGGCTAGTTTTGTGGATGCGCTCCACGTAATCCCAGAGGGAACGAGCTGGCTTGGAGCCCAGCTTCTCGCCTTTTTCCTCGTACATCATCCCTGTCAGCACAGACACAACTTAGAGACCGGGCCAATGGAAACACGGGAGAGATGGCCTGCCCTTCGCTCGATACACTTGCGCCTTTTTTGTTTTAGTTGTGGCACCAAAGGGCATTTCGGAACAGTTCAATATGCTTAAGAAGTTTTATCGGTTGTTTTTTTGTCCGCAAAAACGTCTAAATTCAAATTACGCTTTGTTAGGTCCGCAAAGTGCTTCTGCGTATTTCTATGCGGCCCTACTCAAAGCACATCTGTACAAACACATCACAGACACGCGGCTCTGCAAATGCTCAAAAAACAATGACGTGAGCCCTTAACATCTTTTTGTCATATTTTTATTTGGATAGTCCAAATTACCGATACGGGTTTTAAGAAGGAAGAGGGGCCCCCATTTTCTAAGTGTTTATATAAAAGGCAGTATAACAAAAAATGCAAGAACAATTTTGCCTTACACAAAGTCATCATTACAACTTAAAAAAAAAATCACATTCTTATTTGTCTGCATCTCGAAGACGAATACTGACCCATTTCTATCCTCTCGTAGTCCGAGTCGAGAAGGAATGTTCGGAATCGGTTGGAGACAAAGTGGTATGCCAAAAACTTCAGGTAGTATTGGTTGAACTCAAACTCTGTAGGAAACTGGTTGAGTACCTTCATCAAAACACAAAGTAAAAAAAACATAAGCATTGTTATAACCTCACAATGTTTACACAACCATGGCAGAATTATTGAGTAAAGCACATTATGCTATTTGTATAAGACCAAGAGCAAAGGATGACTGAACTGAAGTTGAAATCGCAAGTGCCATAGTTTCACAGAGACACGGGTGATTTTGATAAACGCAACTCGAAAAAAAAAGTTTTCATTTAAAGCAATCTGGTCATTACAAATTTTAATATGAAATTGGTTTAACACGTTTAATTTGAGTTCTGGTAAATACGAGAAAGGCCAAAAAGTTTTTGTTTGTCATGTTTATTACTCACTATCATTTAAAATAATTTTTTTTTTACGTTTGGGCGGATTATGCGGTAATGAGAATCCTTCCACTCCCAACGGTATGGGCTCGCCAGCAGGAAGGCGCAATTATCAGGGCCATGTGTAAATCTTATGATTATTTATTTTAAATCCCAAAGACGTCAAGTGAGGGACAACACATTTTGAGGGAAAGAAAAAAACCACAAAACTACATTGTTACCTCATCTAATCACATTCACCCGGAACAAATGAGAGGGAAAACATTCCCTACGAACGTACACGTTAAAATGTATTTGTTTCATGTAACAAAGATGTATATATTTTGAAACAAGCGTTTTCTCATTAGTGTAAAATTGTCAGTTTCAATGCCATCACTCATAATGGTAATGTATACGGTCTCATGCCATTTATACAACTAGACTTCATAAATGACAAAATACTGAAGACTGCAAAATATAAGAGGTTAAAAAAGTTGTCAGAAATTACAATCAACAACAAAAACGAATATGAATTTAGCAGATCACGAAGTTGATTGGTATTCACAGCTATCCAATACAACTATGGCAGACCTCAAAGGTCGTGCGTCTACTGTGCACCACGCCTTAAACCACAACGAGATCTTGACCTTGAAAATAAACTGAAGTCATCCGATGAGTAAAGTAAAAAGGATTCAATCAAATTTCGATTTAAAGCTTTCGTGACTGCAGGGATTCATCTTCTTGGTTCTTTCGTGACTTTACCGAAAGAACCATGAAGAGGATTAAATCAATGAATCCGCTCAACAGTGAAGCAAGTGAATGACCACAGGTGCATAATGTGGGGCAGAAGCCTGACCTGGTGCACACAGTCAAGGAACTGCAGGAAGAGCGGCGCGAGGCCACTGCTCTGGCTCGCCAGCGTCTGGTTACCGCGATGACTGAAGCGGTGGCCAAAGGAGATCCACTCCTTTTCCACCAGCAGCCGGAAACCGTCCAGGGTGCGGTAAAACGGATCCGACAGCAGCTGCACCATCGACACCAGCTGCGGAGAGTGCACGGTGTGCATCACACAACCTCCGATTACGTACGGTGCGAAAGAAGTTCAACATACGTACGCAACAACAAGGTTTGACCACTGGAGAAGTTTGTCGCAGGAGATAAAGATGAACCGATGAAGAACATATGTCCCCCTCGCTAGCCTTCATTCTTCCCGTTCATACATCTAAGAATTGTTTATCTTCATAAAAATGATTTATTGTAACTATTTATCATATTTTATCACACTCATGCCCAGCTCTGCTGGACCTCATCCAGAACACATTAATTAAAGGAAATAAATACGGTTACATTTGCCACGGAGAAATATAAAGGCAAATGATTTATATTGTTTATACATTGATGCGCGATAACACCGTGTGGATTCTCGTTGAAGAAATATGTCTGGCTTTGTTTTAGGATATACAACAATTATTCATTGTTAAGCTGATTGACACCTGCGTATAATGGCCTTTCAAAAGCAGTGCATCACTGCTTGTAACATCTGCAAGCGGGCAACCGATATGCTATTTAATAACTGCTCTAGGCAGAAAATTATCACGGCAGATGTGCGGTGGTTTAACAGAGTGAGGTCAAGCCACCAGACCACCCATCCGCCAACTGAAAGCACAACACATAAATTAAACAATTCTAGAGGTGCCAAAAACCGCAAAAGGTAGCGAGCGCAATGTGGCTCAATAAGCGAGTGCGATAACACGCAAAATGTTACCTGGGTAGTGATGTCCCATCCTTCCTCGAGGCTTACCATGACAGAGGAGCCTCCGTCTAAAAGCTCAACTACAAGCTCTGCCAATTGCAGCAGCCTTTGGATCTGCGGAGAAACATCGCCCAACGGAGCCAGCATAGAGTTATTCTGCACAATACAGACTGCCATAATAAAAACAAATGCCAAGAGCCAAAAGAAAAACAAATCACGAATGAAAGGGAAAGCATTATCTATTTGTGTATACAGGCAACTCTCGATTATCTGGGCTACTCGGGGGGGATGGGGAGGGCCCAAATAAAACAAAAACAAAGAAAATACAAAACGTATGTAAATTGATTTCCTATCTAGAATGGGGGCTGAAGATGCCGATGTTAGACTCTGTCGCCCGTTTTATTGTTTTCCTTTTTGGGTCCCAAGTTACGATGGTGGGGGGGGGTAGCTAATAATAGAACCAGCACACATGTAAACGGTATGAATACGGATTCCTATTTTCTATTTTTGTAAGCACAGTTACTCTGCAGCCTGTATAATACCACCCCATGGATAATCCAAAGAGTGAATTTTATTTGTACATTTGCAATAGTTGAGGTGGAAGCATACCTGTTGCAGCCATTCGGATTCTTCTAACGATTTGTAGAAGGTCATGTCCTGTGAAGGAGAAGTACTGGGCACGCAAGCTCGTAAAAGCTTCTTGAAGCTGGCCTTGACTGCGCGGACATCGGGGTACTCCACCAGTAATACCTCGCAGCCATGCACCCCTTCCAACTTAATGCCCTGCCACACATACGCGCCACCATTGTGAGAAAACGATACATTATTAACACGCAATGGAAAACGTAAGCACCCCTTGTAACGTGAGTGGGCAGGCGATTTGAAATGGGAAACTTCCATGCAAGTGGGAATTTAAATGACCCGGTCAAAAATGGTGCACTATTTCTTCCCCCTAAGACTTGTTTTGATTATAAAAATTAATAGAGACATGTTGCAGGGCTGTTCACCATCCAATACATTGCCTGAATCTGGGGATTAAGTGATCATTACTCCATGCATGCATCAAACAGCACCTACATGTACAACCAGGACTTTTTTCTCACCGAATATACCGCATTCCGGGTCGCTGGTAGACTGGAGCAGACACGTGACTAGCCATGACATTCATAACGGAGGGTTTATTGGATATGGTGTGCCGGGTGCGGAAACTTTTCTGTCTGTCTGACCCAGACAGAGCTGGCTGAAAGTAAGCCCGCTGTACAACCCTTTGTCAATCTACTGGCCAGTGTGGGTTGGTGAAGGCGAGAAGCGTAGAGGTGGGAGCGTATTAGTAGGGTACAACAATTTCTTTAATGGATTGCCCTCCACTGCCCACTAGGCAGCAGGCATGAGGCAGGGGGGAAAAAAATCACCTTTCCTTGCGACTTGTCAGCTAGAATGTAGAGCACGGCAGCCTGACAGCGGGCAAAGTCTCGCTCGGTGGGAACACCATTGTGGTTTGGAGATTGCAGCGGTTCTTTGCCTGCGAGCCGGGCCCCAATGTCCCCCGAGACAACAGGTCCACCGAACCTTCCACTGCCTCGCAGGGTTGCCCACTTGCCTGCAACGAGTCACAAACGCTGCCATTTCTCCACGGCCCTTCCCCTGGGCATGACGAGGCACACACGTGCATAAATACTTGAGGTGAGCTATGAGTTCAATGCATGACAGCTGGATTTGTGATCATAAATAACCAGCTTTTAGGGTTACCGTTTCAAAATATTGAAAACCCCCTGCTGAATTTGACACAGTTCACATGCATATGATGTATCAACTAGTGACAAAGCATGGAGCCATTGCACGCAATATCCTAATCTTGTATTTGTATTCTCTCCAGCGTGGTCAAATCCAGTTAGCTGTCGTGGCTTGTTAAATGGATCGGCAATGAAAAACAGCAAACCCTGCAGAGCATTACACTTGCGCACACAATCACACAGAATCACACAGAGAGGACATTGACAAAACAGCTATTAACCACAAAGAATGCAGAGGGAAATAATAAAAGCAGGCGTGGGACGGAGGGAAGTTGGGGAGGGCAAATCATAAAAAAATGGTTATCCAGAGGGTGAAAATGCATCGGAGCGTGACGGTCGTCGGCAAGGCGAGGAGGTTAGAGCCATGGGTGGCGGTGGCGGTGGTAGCGGCGGCGGCGGCGGCTGCAGCGGCTACGCATGGCACCGAGTGGCGATTACCTTCACGGAGGCGCCTCCCCTTCACAGCCCCTTTGGGCGTGCTCACAGTGAACAGCTTATCTCTGTAGCCGAGCACTGCGGGGAGCGCGCAGCGGCCACAAGGGGGAGAGGCGACAACACAGCAGTCAGAATCACGCGCACAAACACGCAGGAACAACGGGACCTTGCTTTGGCTTGGACTTTTGATTTCTCTTGTAGTTTTTTTTTTACTTTTTTTTTCACCCCAGCATACGGCCAAAAGCTGACATATTTTATTATTCGAAAACATCAGATTTACTTTGGTTGGAAGCGCTGCGCCAAGATAAGCTCTCTTTGGCATTTTTATTCAGTTTATAGTTATAATGCAGGCCAGTGGGTTTTCAACACAAACAAAATATATCAACTACAAATCAAAATATGTTTATTATCTTATGTGTGCCCAATAAAATAAAATACGTGGTTTTTTTTTTCAAATTCAGCGCTTCTTGTGAAAAACTGCGAGTTTACATTGAATAAATACCTATAGTTTTTCATACATATTTTATCAACTACACCCAAGCACAAAGCAAGGCCAAAAGATCCCAACACTGCAAAGCTCAAAGTGTAGATGCAAACTTGTTGCATTCTCAGAGTAAAGAAACCAACACCAACTATCCAAAGTTCCACCACCAACACAGACAACAGATCACATGTGAAGAAAACCTGATTCCAAAGATTTCTCAAACCCAAAAAAGAAGGGAGTCAAAACAGGTGTTTTCCCGAATGCCAGAGATCAGAAATTGACACGAAATATTCAAAAGCATTGATATTAGTGGGTGTCAATTAAAGCAAGCCAAGCAACGGAAGACCGGGAAGCACATTTATTGGAAGGCCAGCATGGAATTTGCTTGGCTCATGTTAGATCCACCTTGATATTTTGTTGGGGCAACATTGGGTCCCATTTTTGTTTTTTTCCCAAGTGTGGGACCTGCTGTGTGAGTCACTCACCGCCTCGCGTGAAACTACTAGAAAGCGTAAGATCCATATTGGTCCCTGTTGCCTGTTTCATTAGCGTCGACAGCCTGTTCTGTCTGTGCTTGTCATAAGCAGATTCTGTAAAGAGGTCACCCGCATACATACACACACACCGGTGTGGCGAGGGGCCCACATCAATGACAGAAGTCTAAGCCTGGTAATAATGAACCTGGCCCTGATGCACTACCACCTCATTCAACATTTAAGGTTTCCTCCGGAGAGACGGACTTAATTTTCCTGTGGACGTGCTAAAGTCCACGAACCAAAACTCTCACGCAGAAGACATGGGTACAAAATGATGACACGTGATATTAGGTCACTAATTAAGGTTGTTCGTATAAAGGATAGGTTAGATCCAATGGTGTGCATTTTCCAAGCATGCACAAAAAGCAATGTCAGATCTATGGTCCGTTTCAAAAAGGCTTTCCTGGTGTTTTATGTTAATTGTTAAGTGGAGTTTAAGAGTGTCAGTGCTTGTATAGTTCTCATTTAATAAAAAAGTCCCTTCAAATAAGCTATCGGTCATCACAACTGGTCCATCGTTTTTTTTGGAGTAGAGTTAAAATCTGAAAGAGATTAAAAGTTGGTTAATACGTTAGCAGATAGCTCAAAGAGTGCCCGATCGAGGCTCTTGAAACGGTAATAATTTCCTGTATTAGTGAAGAGAAGTTTTTTGTTTTTTAGCGCGAAGAGAGGGCGAGAGCGTGCGCACGCTGGCTGCGCGGAGTACGTGGCACCCGCCGCCTCACCGGACTCGAGTGCCAGGTAGGTGGAGGAGTTCATGCTGAGCCGGTTGCGGTCCGACTGGTGGGGCATGGCGTGTACGATGGCCTGCAGGTATTTCTCCTGCTCCACGCTGCTCGACGATTCCGAGGAGGAGGCACCTTCCGGGTGAGACAAAAAAAAAAAAGAGACAAAACAAGGTAACGTTTTGACGTTTAGTGTACGTCTACAACGGAACCGTTGTCCGGTGGACAACCACAATGTACATTAGCAGTATATGCATTGTATATGGATGTAAACAAGCACGCACATGTTAAATACTATGCTTTGTACATGTAATTGCACACAAGAGAGTAAAACATTTTTACCGCATTCTCCAGATGATAAGATGTACTGTTTTATCCATTGCAAGCAAAAGTTGGGGTGTGCATGTTATAATCCGGTGGGTATTTATGTGTGACCAGATTTGTTTAACCAAATTGGCACCAGGCACAAGTTTGGGGTTTGCCTTACTTTTCTGAGCATCTTAAAATCCAAAGAAAACGCAATGAACAAGAACCGGAGTGATGCTATTGTAACTTCTATAATTAAAAGGTTGATGTACACACACACACACATTCTGGTCATTAGTACTCTGTATATGTGTGTATATAGGATTGTCAAAAAACTCGATCCTAATAGGTTGTGACAAGTTAATGTTTGGGTTATTTTGAAGCCTGACTCTTACATGCTAATCCTGTAACAAGAATGTTGACATTAAAGGGTACTTTCAAAGAAAAATAATGTTACAAGTATAAGCCTGTTAACACTTTTAATATCCTGTACCCAATTTCTAACTGCCTTTACCACATACTGTATATCTTGTAAAGTATAAGAAAACTATTTAATCCTGTGGGAAATATCATCCCAGAGGAAATAAAATAAAAAAACGAACGACAGGCTAAACATATGCAAGCTTTAAGAGCAACAGGTGGCAATTTTCATAAGGGTTTATTATGAAAGCATTAGCACTAAGGTAGGATGCAGGTGTACACATTTTGTGTTATTCTGACCGCGTGGTCATGTTATTTTGTACAGCTGCCAAAAAGAGAGACCAAATGTTCCTATTAAAATCAGTAACAATTACAACGACAACAAAAAACGCTCGACTGCCCATGTTTTCCATCACAGCTACACAGCCAGCCGGACCAGCGATGGCCTTCACGCACCAGAGGCATGCTGGCCCTGGCCCTTGAAGAGGCCAACCACCCCCTTGCCATGTGGGCCGCTCGAACGCAGCAGCACCGCCTTGGTCTGCGAGTGACGCCAGCAGATGACGGGAAAGCGGTTCTGACGGTAGCAGCGTGAGATCTTCTGCAGCGTGCTGTCCTGCACATTCTGTGGCACTATCAGCAGCCCCGGGTAGCTACACCGGCAAAAAACACAAAACAGGGCAGCATTTTCACTATGCTCCAAAAAGGAAGCCTGCTTATGAACAGGATAGATCAGATTTATATCATGAAATGCATATCGCTTCTTTTACCTGTTTGTAAATGCACTCAGAACAGACACACATTTAGAGTTATCTTTTTTTTATATTTTGGTTTGTGCCAAGATGGTCAGATGGCTCAAGGGTAATCTTGAGCCATGAGCCAGCACTACTAAAAATCCGTGGGTTCAAATCTGGGTTTTAATCATCCGTGGATAAAAAAGGGGTGGTTGTTGAATGTAGGGAGTTTTTGGTCTCAGCATGTTACTTAATTTGTCTACATTTCAGCTGAGAATATTTTAAATGATTGACCACTATACCACAAGTATTTCTCCGTAGCAGGGAAAATAGAAAAGTGCACCTCCTAGTGTGTGGATAACAACAGGCCCTTGAAGCAATTTCAGAATTACATTGACTTTCTGGTTCTACGAGCCATTCTCAAACACAAGGGGGAGGGGTTTCACTACTCTGCGAGAATTGATGAGGCCAGCATCGCAACAAAAATGCGGAAATTCCAAAATAAATGATAAAAGCTGCCTTCATGTCAAGAACGAAAAAACTACTTCCGCAAAATCTTGTTGACAAACAAGAAGATATGCATAATTGCAGAGCAAAAGTCGGTGTGAGGAGGAACCCTAATTTACATATGGTCTATTCGAAGCAGCACATCTTCTCTGAACCTGGAAAAATCAGCAGTACTCCCTTTTTACTGCAGGACGCGAAATGAACGCTGGGTGCAAGTAGCTGTGCCGGCTCCTCACCTGCGGCAGGTGCCGTACATGCGGTTGACCGTGGAGATCCGGTAGATCTCAGACTTGGACCTCGTTAGGCTGCTGCTCAGCGTGCCGAGCCCCAGCCGCTGGTAGTCCTTGCAGCAGGCGCGCTCCAGTGCATGGTCCACGGTCAACTTCTCCGGGGACTTCATGGTGGATGATGTTGTCGCGGTGTTTGTTAACGTTTTGTCTCCCTCGTCTGAAACTTCAATTAATCACATTGGAATGTTACGTCTAAACTACTCGGGAATGCTTAATGTCGAGGCCATATTTGTTTACAACAGATTACAGTGCCGTATATCAAACATACATCCAGACGGTTCAACAATAGTGAAACATTTCATCTGGCACGAATGTCACTTACTGGAAATCTCATCCTCTTCTTCGCTGCCGTACACAGACTGCCGGTCAGCCCAATTCGGAGGGGTGAACTTCTTCCGAGACACATACTGCCTTCCAATCGTCTTCATCCCTGCCTTCTTGGCACTTTTAACCAAAGTCCTACACGCAGGAAAACAAATTATCCTCATCCATATGAAGTGTCAGCAATCCAAAACCAAATTTTAATTCTCAATTCGCATCCGTGATATATATACGTGCCAGTTCAGTAATGTATTAGTGCAGATCACGTGTCCTATGGCATTATGGGCTGTGAGTTAGAGATGGCTTTATTTTGGTGATTTCGAAAAGTGTATTGGTTTAGCCATGTTTGTTTGTTGTAGTACAGAGTTAGACTGATGGCCTTAATCTAAGTTGTCTTGTGGTTGTTGTTGGTTGTTTGAATTGCATCCCACTGGGATTTTTGCACACAGCGTTGGTGTACGGTGTTTTTTCTGCAATATTTTGCTGTCTTTTCTTGGATTTTCTGTTTGCACTCAGTCACATATTCACTTTAAGATGTTTTTTTGTTCATGTTTTTGTTTTTTTGTTTGTTGCGGTTGCACCCGATTCAAGAGCCGAATGGCTCACAGGGCGATACCTAATAAATGAACTTGAACTGACCGGAGGGAGGTGTTGGCCTCCTTCTGCTTCTCCTCGATGTGAATGGGCTGCAGCTGCGAGGTGGCGAAGGCGAAGGTGTGGTAGACAGTCTGCGGATAGCGGAGCTTGTGGATGTGCTTCCGGAACACCTCCACCGTCTCCGAGCTCACCTCCACGTCGAAGGCCACCTTCAGCAGCTGTAAATGATACGTACGTTATCACGAAACAATCTTATTTATGTACGCAGCCAACTGTGCTAATCGGAGGTGCAAGATCCTATACATAGCGCTGGTCTTTCGTACAGTGCCAGAATGCCGCATGGGTATCTACACCGAGTCTGGTTGGTGAACTGTGAGATGCGTTATGAGCAATGCAATATGTACTTTGAGGCATAGGTGGTGAGGGTGCGTGCGTGGTGTGTTTGGTGTGTGTGTGTGGTGTGTGTTGGCACAAGCGCCGTGGTGACATCATCGCCACGTAGTGGCGAAGGCTGCTGTTGAGTTGTTCTGTATATGGGCTTATGGTGAGGCACTGTGTGCGTTGTACAATTTATATTTGTGCTATATTTTTGTATTTATCATAGGACACAGTATTTTTTTGCGATGCTTTATATTTTCTGCATTGCTGTACCTTCTTTTTTTTGCTTTTGCCATTTATGTGACCTAGGTAACGACTGCAAATTAGCCTACCCTGATCTCTTTGAGTTGTCTGTCACCTGATTAAACAAAATAAACTTGAAACTTGATATCAAGCAGGGCTTCAGTCTAAGCAGTAACCCACTCGGAATGTGGACTACGCACCTCCCTTAGTTCAGTGTGGTCTCCCTGGCAAGTTGTACATGCAACTTGCTATGGTTGTCGCACAGGGTGCACACATGCCTGGAAGGTGCAGGACCGCAGCTGTAGGCCCTCCTGCACGTACTGCTCGATCTGGGACGTCACGGTGATCTTCTTCTCCTTGGTGAGCGCCGCCACTGGGAAGCTGCGCACCACCGGCTGCTCTCCAACTGCAGAGCACACATCGTCGTGACCCCAGACACACACCGCACATGCTCAGCTCGCGCGAATGAGCATGTAAAGTGATGGTAAGACACGCAACATACTTGTAGGTCACTGTCGATTATATATGTTTAGGGTTTCAATCAATATTCGCTTGACTTAAAACATTGGCCGAACATGTTTTTGTATTTGGCTGAATTGTTGCAAGAGAGAAAAAAATGCGAAGGCGAATCTATTTTGAGCACCGCAGGCCTCTGTAGTCATAGGACCACACATGACGAACACAGCCCGCAGTTGCGGTGACGCGGGAAGGGTGCAGAGGGGCAGAGAGAAAGACAGATGCAGAGACTGAGGGAGAAGTAGACATGAGACGAGATCAAGCGAGGGAGACAGTGTGATAAAGGGAGATAACGTAGAGAGAGACACATAGTGAGGGAGACAAGGTGGAGAGAGAGAGAGAGGTTTTCCAGTTTATCGCCTACGTACAATTAAAAAGTTATTTGGCATTTCATTTGAAGTCAGATGATTACTTAATTAGGTATTTGATATTTCAAAGAAAAATGAAATACGATTCGGTGCAACCATGCTCATTTAATTCTACAATGAAAGTCGTACGATGGCATAAAACTTGGTCTGAATTCATCACCGAGCACGTCTCGTTACTATTCATCTGTTCTGGCAAATGCAACTACAGCCATTGTGGAAAGATAGTTGTGGCAATGACACTACGGTAATTCGGTTTTGTCATCCAAAACCAGGTTTTCACAGAAACCAGCGCATGATAAATTACTCATGGCACTAATTGGCTACAATTACGTGAGCATATGCTTATTCTGAAGACTCCATACGGGCCAAGGCAACCATCCAATCACAACAAAATGTCAAGCATTCGCAAGAGACTTTGATAGTACGTGAATGCCAAATTTACTGTATGCACTTAGCACAGGAAAGCTATGGACACTAATTATTAAAAATACACGTAATGCACATTAATAGGAATTAGCGAGGGAAATATTGCTTAACAATTTCACCAATGTGGGTGAACAGCCCCGAGGTATAAGTGTCGCAATGTTCAATGTGTTTGCCTTGGCTCCATATATTCTGGCACAAAATCTGGCCAATTTGCTCCCTGTTTTGGAATGCCCATCTGCTCGCCATAACCACATAGAAAACCTCTCAATGACCGAGGCAGAGCAACAGCTTGCCAGTCATTTATTGGCAATGCACATGATAGCACACAAAGGTCAGTCACAGTTACAAGATTTTCAGCATAAAGGCCACGAAAGTGATCTCTGTGCTCGGTAACACAATTAACCAAAATATTAGCTCCCATGTTTGAAAGGAAAAAAAAAAGCCCTAATGAGTGTTTTTCCAAGAAAATTACTCAGGTGAGGCATTGAAAATGAGAAGCAAATTTTCACATGCAGAAATATGTTCATTAACAAATGGAATTCTACATGCGATTAGAGTGATTTGTCTGGGACAAATGATATTTTGATAGCAGTTTGTGAAAAAATTAACAAGAGATGATCCACCTGACAGATATTTTTACCTCTAAATGTACAGCCTGAAAATATAAGTCTGCCTTAATAACTACAAAACTTAAACCTGCATCCAATAGAAACATGGATGTAACTTAACAGCAAAACGTACTATATTTTCACTAGAACGAAGAAGTTAAACAGATGTATTTTTAAAGGCTGTAAAAACGATTCCATTAATTCTGCAATAGGCTTAAATGCCACGCACTTGCATTCGGCACCCACTGTGGATGAAATTTCATCGACCATTAAAATCGGGAAAAACCCCTACTATTCCATTTCTATGCCAAAGTTAGGGTGGGGGGAAAAAACAAAACCATGGTGTATAGTTGAAATAAAGGTGAAAGTGTGATGCCGTGGCAATGAAAATTCGCCTTCTGGTAACGGTCCATTGGCAAACATTCTTACCGAGAGGGTCTACTGGCATGCCCCTGAAAATGATGCGGTAATTGGTGAGGAATATGGCACCCTCCGCTGGCAGGATGGGAGGGCCCCCCATGGGGCCCCCAGAGACCTCCTCCCGGCCGTCCATGAGAAGGTAGACTCGCAGCCCGTCGACGATGAAGTTCTCCCCGTGTAGTAGGGCAGGCTTCGTGATTTTGGGCTGCAAGAAAGAACGGCACCAATGGTTTAGTCGCGAAGGGAATTCACTGGAGGAGTGGAGAGTTGATTTCGCCAGTTTCCATATCGGAGAGCAGGCAGCATAATTACCTCTTTTCTGAGTAAAACATGACAGATCTGATGTGAGCACTCACATCAGATCTTATAGCCAAGATGAATGTCTCCATAATATACGAGGATTTTATTTACGACCTGCACACCACCAAGGCATAGTATAAAGGTACCATAAATTGAAAATGTTGGGTCAGTTGCGGTGGCTTAAGAATGTATATAGAGAGACTTGAATAAATACATGAAACTATACTCAGTCTCAACCATAAAAATACAGTTTCATTATCATTGTGATGAGCCATGGTGAATCTACAGCTGGATAAAGCTGTTCCCATGCGACTGTCATGCCTCAAGGTCTTGCTATACCACAATCTATCTTGTTTCTGCATGAGCTAATCTTATTGCTACATCACTATGGTGATTGTCCTTCCGCGCGTGTGCCGTGTGTTTTTCTCAGATCCACATGTTCTTCCGTCTCCTGGAGTAATTCCCAGCATGCATCTTTCCATGCTTTAATGTGCACTTCTGAGCTTTTGATCTATTGTGGAATTATTGATGTTGCTGCTCTACGTATTGTAGGTATATGTATTCCTTTTCTCATTTCTATTTTTGTTACTTTCTTCATGTAATCAAAGTGTAGCTGCTCCACCTTTCTAAATTGTTTTGATAATTTCTAGATATATTTAAGGCTTTGCTTTGTGAGAAATTGGATAAATGTATCAGTTTCCACTCAAATCAATGCCTTTTCGTAGTTTACAAAAGCCAGGCATCATTTACATAATACACTTTGCCTCGGTTGTGCCATCGTTCCTCCCCAGAGTCCTCATTGGCTGGAGGTCATGCACCACCCACCGTGCCACCTTTTGATTGGCTCCCACCCCTTTACTGAACATCCCAGCAAATAGATGCCCGGTGAAAGGGGAGGGGCCACAAGGGATGGAGATTGGTGTTGGGTGCTAATTGATATGATTTGTCTTCTCGAAAATGTGACCGAGTCGTTGGTTGGCCCATAAATTGTTCATTATTCAGTTATCTGTGATATGTGAACAATTTATACATTTGTGATCAGAGGCCAATGGATCTGTAATCTTCACATCAGTGTTGTCTCACTTGTGAAAAATGATTGAGACATCATTCCATAATTAGAGTATGTTGAGTGTACACTGTTATTAAACACATCCACTAGTTTCCATCTAGCAGCTGTTTGTGCTTTTTTGATAACATCTATAGCAATTCCACCCGCTTCGAGAGCTTTTCATTTTGTACATATTGCAAAGGGTGGTGGTTACTTCTTCAGGTGTGACATCTGCAACATCCTCCTACTCACCTGCAAAAATGATTTGTTTCCTAGGGCATATTATTTTTTTTTTTCTAAAGGCATCTGCATATAATTTCACCACTTATTATATCATCCCACCTCTAACCTGAGCAATGGTTCTATCTTAAAAACGACTACATATGATGACAAATAATCAACTTCCTTTTTGCTGCTTTCACTATCCCAAAGCTCATCATGATTTTCAACCACTTCCGCACAGTTATTTAATTGATTTTCTCACTAATTCCTCATGGCTTGACAGAGTTCTATGTAAGCTGTTTTGTGGGTTTTTTATTTCATTTCATATTTCTCATTTCCAAAAACATAGCTTTTTCCCGTTTCGGATAGCTTTTTTTGCCCCACAACGTTAGTGACATCAATTTCATAATTTAGTTTCTCAAGAGATTTAAAGCAACACAACTGAAAGAAATGGAAAAACATTTAACTTCTTGCACCAATCTCACCTTCTCAATAGGTGGCAGCCTCCTGCTCTCTCGATGGACCGACTCCAGAGTTTCAATATGAATTGCAACAGTTCCTGCAAAGAAAGCAGCACACTCTAAACCAACACGCTCTGCAAACAGCGAAAAGCACATCATGCAATGATAGTAATTTACAGTACAGAACTTTGTCAATACACTGCTAGATGATAGCCTCCCCATTTATTTTTAGTCATGGGAGTTGTTTGACCATACTTCATCATACTGGTGAATGCAGGTTGGTGCAGGGGTGATCTGGGGCTTCTCAGACATCACTCACCACTGATATCAGCAATGGCTGGGACTCCGGGATCATAGTGAAGTGCACTAACTACTGCCTCAATGCTGCTCCACCCTTACAATGATAACCGTCATCGCCCCCACTTGTCAATCATGGGGGTTATCTCATGAGATCTCACCACAATGTTATAGCGGGTTCATGACGGTGGTAAGCAGACGCGCTGGAACCTAGAAGTGCAGCACTACAACAGATTCGGCTGCACTGCCCCGCATGGTCGTATCCCATCCAAACACCATTAAGCTCAAGAGAAGAGGTGCATGGTGGGTGATTTGATCACGGTAGTAAGAGCGGTAACCGTAGTGACAACACCGTCAAATTTACCTATTTTCTATGAGAAAATGTGTGCATGTGTCATTCCTTCACATAAAAGTCCTGGTCACAAAAGCAAAGTTTGTTGGGAATAATAGCAAATTTTCTATACTTTTGAGGCACAATTAGAAAATAACACTTACTATCCCAGGAACTAAAAATCGTGTTACATAGTGTAATGCTCCACCGACAGAGGTCCCCTCACCAGGAATCATGCTGTTGAGGGCCCGTATGTGCTCCGTGGTGACCTTGCTCTCTGTGCACACTTTGTCCACGAAGCGCGTGATGAACCGCACCACCGAATTGGCGACGTCGGTGCCCTCAGAGTCTTCGAAGCCACTCTCCGTGTCGTAACTCTCCGCCACGCTGCCGGCAATACTGTTGAGATTTAAATGAAAGCGGGGTGGTGGGGAGGGCGCAAGGCCCATTTAAGCTACAGATAACTACTTCGCAAATACTCTTCTAAAGCAAAGTTCTGTCAAGTAAGGTAGGATTCAGAAAATCTACATTTTATAAGAGAGACAACAGATGTGGTCATACCAAGGCAGATTTCCAAAGAATATAGTTGGATCGGTGACTACCATCTGGAAATTATGTCACATGTCCAAAACGCCAAAAAAATACGTGATGAATGTATTTTGGTATATTTTTTTACATTTGTCTTTTTGTAAATACCGTATGAATTGGCCATACACATCAAGCTAAAATGTTGTTTCTTGAAATTTCAGCAAAGGGATTTGTATGACTCTCTCGTATCATGTCTGGGCACATGTTCTTTTTACATTAACACAGCCAGATGACTTTTGACTCCGAACACAGTATATTGGCACTGAAATCCCAACTCCCACAATCTCAAGAGCACAGTTTGATTCAAATACCACATTCCATGCACAGTGTTTTTATCAATATGAACACTTGTAAACTGTACCTATTGGTCAGGAAACTATTGGAGACGCTCTCCCCATCGCCCAGGCCTGGCTTGAGAAGTAGACGGTTTTTGCTGGAGTCAAGAGGCACCAATAGGTAGACCATTCGGTTGGCGTAGTGGATGGCCTGGCTGTACACGATTCCCTCTTCGCTGGATATCAGGTCTTGCCGCTTCTCCTCCTCGAGCGTTGGCCACAGCCGCAACTGCTCTGCCGCTATCTCCATCGGGGTTTTGTCAGGAACCCCTGATGTCTAAAAGCCATGAATCAAGGCAAAAACGACAGACACAGCGTGACCCTTTGTAAAAAAAAACACACACAACAAGTATGGTGTCTGTCTGTGGACAGCGCATGTTGGATTTTTTTTTTGCCATGAATTTAACCTCAAATTAAAATATTTAAGGACGTAGGAAATACATTTATATTTGATAACATAAATCAAGAAATACAGTAGGCTTACTTATTACTTTTGTATGTATTTAGCAAAAAACTGCCTTGTTTGACTCTGAAACAGGAAATATCAACGACAGCAGAGGCAGGCCAAGATCTGGGGAGTAAGAGATTTATTAAAAAGCGACATTCCCTTGTTTTAACCATCATCACTCATTGTTGTGCTGCAATGCAAGCGGGGGTTTATCCCTCCACACCAGGGGGTAGGCTAACCCTATGGAAAAGCAAGATAGCGGACTACAGAGGGACGTAAACATGAAAGTACAACGCATCTATCGGGAATAAAGGAATGATAGCATTGAGAGGGAGGACAGAAGTTTTTTAAGCACGTAACCATCTGCCTTGTGTCAAAGTGCTGAGCCAAAATATAAGACGTTCCGCTGGAAATTAAGACTTTTTTTCATAAAAGAATGGAACAGTAAGTATAGTACTCGTACAATAAAAACAGTAAAGAATGACTACAACTTCCACGAAGCCCATACATATTGTCAATGTTCAAGCGTAAGAGGTTTTGCCAGTATCGACTAGAAGCGGATTGGAATTTGAATCCTATGGAGACAAGGGGCTGCAGTGTGCAGCTTACTATTTCCAGTGACATTGAAAAAAAAAGAGATTATTTGAACACTAAAAAGACATCAAGACTCATTTTATGTTAGGGATAGGCAAGAACAAAGAGTTGATTGGTCAATGAAGACAGCAAATAATTTGAGCAATTTTAATTTATCTTAATGCCTGTGTAGATTTGCAGTTTCTTGTCAACTTGATTAATGCACTATTTTATTTGGCAAAACAATTTCTAGTGCTAGCCAAAACAAACATATTTGCACAATACAGGATTCCCTTCTTTTTCTGTCACCTTTTTTTGGTCCAGCCTCAGGTCACAATTTCCACGAGTTTATAAAAGGAGCACAAAGAATGTTTTAAAGTGAAGCCTCTCTCACTCACCTGCCGGTGCACAGGACTGCCGTCATTCATGGAGAGATACAGAGACTGGATGTGCTTCTGCACATCGTCGTAAAAGGTGGCCTCCCAGAACTGTTGGCTGGTCCAAACGGGATGCTCCTGAACGCACGTGTACGCAAACTGTGTAACGCCTTGACAGAGTTTCTGATGAGAAAAGAGAAGCCATGCGCATGGTGGTGAGAGTTAGTCCCAACAAAAACACTACACTAATGCACCTCAGCTTGTCCCCGAAGCTTGTCCAATATTATAATGCACATAATAAAATAAACTCAAGATTCTTTTGAAAAGAATGTACAATATACACACGTATGTTAATAATTAGTTAAGTAAATTATTTTCACAAATTATACATTTCATTGCCAGCAGATGGCAGGCTAGGATGATACAAAATGTGTGTTTTCCTTTTTCCATTTTCCTATGCCATAAAAGACAAACAGGTGAATTGTTCTTGAGGGTGCAGCATTGTAGTTGTTTGTTCCTTGGGTGGAAAATGTACAATGGGAACACTTCCAAAATGAGAAACTTATTATCAAAATCACTGCGAGCAATCCATCACGCTGCTGTACTACCATGACCTTCCTGCCACGTTTTTACCTAAGGTATTTTGGCCACAACGCCAACATTCATATTTTGAATTCAACCGTTTGTCATAAGGAAAAATGACCAAAGTCAAGTTATTCTCCATAAACACATCACAGATGTTGCAACATCAACCACGGTGCTGATATTGGCTTGTATGTATTCTGTTTGGTTAACCATGCTCAATTAAGTCTGCCTGTATGTCAACAGCATTTAGATTTTTTTTTTTACTTTTAATGTCATTAGTTTCCACTGGCTGGGAATGCAGGCCTGTGCTTTATAGCTCATATAAACCGAAGTGTTCAAGAAAATCCCTATACAAGACTGAAACCATGAAGAAGCCAACAAGTATTGTTTGATGCATTGGCGTGTCAAGGCCGCAGCGCGCAGCTGGCTGGAATGTGACGCGCGCTTTGTTCTGTTACGATGCTGTGACGTGCACACACACAACCTAATGAACCTGGGATATTGTTTTTCAGTTCAAATCGGATGAAGAGACTGGAACAACACATTTGTCATGATACCTTGGCTGCCACAAACAGAGTTAATTGAGACAATGAGGTTCAAAATACTCTCGCGGTAAATGTATTCCACACTGATTATATCGACGCTCAGAGTCTGGCAGAGGAGTATGTATTTTCCATCTACTCAAAATACACTGCATCTATGGCCTGTGCACAACAGTCTTGTTGTCCCCGACTGCTTGCCCTTGTGACAACCCAAACTAAATGAATTACGTGCAGTGTTTATATTTATATGATGAGCAGATTTACGTAATGACAGTCAACGCAACTGTAATAAAATATGGCTTTTTTCACCAGGCCAGTGTTTTTAGCTTATTTTCCCAAAGCTAGCTAAACGGAGTAAAGTTGACTGAACTACAGTCATACAAGTTTTAACATGCACCCCGTAAACTCTGATATCACACTGGAAAAAAGTGTGCAAAAGCATTTAGTTGTAATTGAACCCAAGCTCTCGTTCTTACCACATATCTCAACGCAATAGAAACTCTAAACTGCATCTCCACAAAATCTCCAGCATTAGCAACTTCCTTACCATAGCTGGTGCTGAGACCCTTATCCCATGCCATCATTGCATCGCGACTCGACTATTGTGTAACTCTCTCCTTTCTGACCTGCTAAGATGTATCACAAGGTTCCAAAAATCCATGATCTTCAAACTCAAGATGACCAAAAATGTGACCACATCGCCCGGCTGCTCAAATAGCTCAACTGGCTCTCAGTGCAATGCTAGTTCAATTTAAATATCAATCATGGTCTTCAAGATCTTCCATGGACGTGCCCATGCCTACATCTCCCCTCTCGTATCACTCTATCACACTCTCACGCGCTCTCTTGCTCCAATAACCGAGACTTTCTGTAAAAGCCCTCACTTAACCCTTTGCTCAATAGGCCATATATTCACCTATACTGACCCCCCCGCCCACCCCCCCCCCCCCCCCAAAGTCTAGAACTCCCTTCACTCCCTGTCAACTCACTCCCCATATTCAAGTCTGGGCTTGGGACTGCTTATGACTGACTGTCTCTCTATATAAAATAAGTAAATAAGTACGTCCCAATATTCTGCACAGTATATTGAGATGAGGGTCGCATTTAGATGATATATTGATTCAAATGTTATTGTCGCACCAGTACAAGTTGGGAATTTAATTTTAAAAAAAAATGTAAATAGGTGACCACTAAGAAAACATATATCTTATCAAAGAGGACCAGGATAATAACAGGGGACTTTTATTGAATTGAGTTCCAGGTTCATCATTCCAATGTGAAATTTGATAACAGGTGACATTTCATGATTAAATCTTTAGTAATACCACACAACAGTACAAGGTGCCTGTGGGACCTCAAGCAGCATAAGCTGGCCACTATGCTATTTGGCGACACGTGCAAAGGCTTCACGAGTTGTTTGGCTACCAACAAAATGATGCAACAGAGGCTTTGGATGAGTAAATGTTTTCGAAATTGCATCAGCTGCCAGTATGATATTAACGTAAAGGTAGTTTTTATTTGTAAACAGACAAAAATCATGTTCTGTGATGCATTTCCTCCATTCTTGTCTGAGAAAAGTGTAAACTGGAACATCCTGTTCACATATGAAGCACGACATGAGGAGTGCACTCGGCTTACCCGACAGAAGGTGGTCACAAGAGGTAACAGTGCCGAAGCAACGCTGTGTTCATCCAATGTTGAGCAGTCCTGAAAGGACATACAGGCACACATTTAATACCTACTGCGTAACACTTGGCAACTGCAACACGGAGAGACAGCAAGACAGACAGATTGGCAAGAGTGGCAGAAACAAGAAACTGTGCAATACGATAAGTGCTCATTGTGATCATAATCTACGTATATGTCACGTGTCCCGTTTTAATAGCGCAATTAAAGAGCAAAAACCCAAAACAAGTGCCCGAGTAAGACGTGGAAGGGAATACTAACGTCAAGCAAAAATCCTGGCTTCGCAAACTTTACCGAGTGTGTTCGCAAACATTCCTGTGGCGCCGTTTGGCACCGGACGTAGTGGCAGAGGCTGCCATGTGCCGTGCGGGCAGGCACGTACCTGCAGAGCTGAGTTCATCATGCGGATGACGTACTCGAACTGCTGGTGGTCCAGCACAGCTCGATTTTGCTGAGCATACATGCCGAGCTCTTGCATGAGGCAGTGGCGGGCTGCACGCCCCTTGAGCGCACGCAGCACAGCTGGCAGTGTCTAACACGCAAGGCGCATGGGGATCAAGAGGAGAAGACCAGTGAATCGGCACTCAGTGTATTTTCATGTATGCGTGTTAAACTTCTTTCGCACAGTACGTAGCCAAACCGTGCTAATCAGAGGTGCGGGGGAAGGACAACAAACAAAACAACAAAAAAGTTCCCAGGAAATTAGTTTTCAATCTAGATTTAAAAGTGCATAGCTCCAGTGGCTTCCTAATATCGGAAACAAGAGCGTTCCAGACTGCTGCAGAAGTGCAACTGACAGTGCGCGATGCAATGACCGTATTTGTTCGAAGGCTAGCCAAAAGGAGCTGCAAGAATGACCGGAGTTCGCGTGATGGTTTATGCCCCCTTGACGAGCCTGCGGGCTCAATGATCCTAACGGCGACCTATGCACATGTGTTAAAGGACTGGACAATGATGATGTTTTCAAAATGAGGATCGTTAGAAAAAGAGAAGATACCGCTGGCCCTCATGACAAAAGACTATTTCTCCAAAGGATTTGTATATTTCTATTTGTGGGGATTATAATGGAAAATAAATGCAGCCCAACAGCTGACTTTTTAATTGTTCAAGTTCTATGTTCACTACAGTAGAAAGATAAACATTAATTAGATTACTTCAAAGGAACCAATACAAAGAAACCCTAGGCAGACCAAATATATATTGCTGGTTATCAAGTGGGCCACTCTAGGCAAAGGCAAGAACTTTGGGTCCAAATATCACAACTTAAATCAATGTCCATTATTATGTAAGGTGTAAACCATTCCAATGTTGTACAAGTTGATAAAAACAATTACTTTAAGCAAACTCTTTGGTTCTTTTGGTAAAGTCGCATAGATAGGAAAATAAATAATAGATCACGACGGTTGGATCGCAACAATAAGCAATCGTCTTCAGGTGCGAGAGAGAAGCGTGCCGTTGTGACGAGGCATTGTATAGATCCGAGAGGTGGGAGGAGGGGGGAGGCCGTAATGGGCGAGGGGGTGGGGGTGAAATTCAAAGAGGGCTTAGGTGAGAGAGAGAGAAAAGGAAGCTTAGATATCAAACTTACTTTAAGCATATTGAATTGTTTATTATGTAAAGTCATTCAGATTTAGACTAATTGTAAAATAGAAAGTTAGTGAAGACTATAGTAAAACATAATTTCAATGCTACATTTCTCAGTTGAATGCGTTATTTGGCAGAATAAAGACGGGAATATATTTGTGCACACGATTATGCAACGTTAATAGGAATAGTATTTATGAAAAGCCCCTCCCCACCCAGCCCCTCTCTGCACGATGGACGGACACAATAATCCCCTGTGGGCTGGTGTAACCAGGAGGTTCCTACCAGTATAATGTGAGTACTAGACAACACACATTATATCAGCTTGTGCACGCTGCACTAGGCTGACTTAAAAGGATATTAGATAGGTCGCAATATATTGCTTGATCTTGTGGAATCAATTCAGCAATACAATGTTTTGCTGTTCTGAAACGATGTGTAAAAGAAGGAAATATGCACGTTGCTTTATGTAAAAGCACCATGAGTCTACATTTGTTGTGAATTTAGACAAGTTAAGCTTCCGTTTATAAACTTTGGATGATCATTGCTTCTGTTGGAATGTCAAAAATATGAAGAGCGTGAAATAAAATTTGAGACATCTTAAAACTTCACAAAATTAAGCAACTTCAATCAAACTTCTGATCCGCATTGCCTGACATGTTGAAAAAAACAACAACATATGAAATAGATTACTGTGTTCTCCAGCCAGCCCTACACAACCAAAATGTTGAGCATTGAGCATATTTGGGATACTGGAGGGAGTCTGGGCATTTTATAAGTGTACACAGTGCACCATAGCAATATGAATGTTTATCACATTTTTACATGCTATGAGTCTGCCACTATCTGGCCAAAAACAACTGCATGTCTGCCTTTCTAGCAAAACAAATTAGCGTCAAAACACAGCAGAGAAGTGGGGAAAACACAAACCACATACTGCCGGCGACTTCTGATAAACGAGCATTGATAAAAGGTTACGGACACATTCTCGCATGTCTCACCATGTAGTTGCCTAATCCTCGTACGCCCTCCTGCCCTAACAAACTATCGTCATTCAAGTGGATGAAAGTATGGCAGCAACTGATAGTGGAATGACACAGCAGTTGTGAACACATTTGAAAGTGGACACCTACAAAAAGCAACTTCCATGTACTATTTGAAGCTAAGCTCGTACAATATTACTAACTAATCACACCGAACTGCCAAGTCATTACAAGCCAGCACAGACTGCACTGCATGGATGCAGAATGCAAGAAAGTAGCCAGCAGAGCAAACAGAAAACAACAGAAAATACTCCGTACAAATTGTCACAAACTCGCATACAAGTTGTGGTGTTATATTTGTATCATGTACATTTCTTCGTATATCTTATCTGAAATGACATTTGAACTCGGGCTGCCGCCAACACTGCAATGCTAATGAGACGATGCATTACAGCTGTGTACATCCTGGCAAACTGCAATAAACATATCAGCATTTTCTAAACATACAAAAGTATGTTTTAGGAATGCTGACCATTTTACATAACACAAATTGCACATGCATTAAGAGACCGGGATAATATTACAGCTGATGCTGGATGCAAGCGATATCAATACAAACTTTCAAAGCACCTTTTTTGCGTCGAGGAGTTTGTTTTCAAAGATGAAAGTGACGCAGTTTCTAACCACCTCCAGGCGCCGAGCACTGTTGGCCAATGCGTGGGTAGCAGGCCCATAGTCCATGGACACTGCAAGACAAAGTCGAAGGTTTATGATTTAGGCAGCAATATATGGAGAAATTCGTGACATTCCATCCTGATTTTTTTTTTCCAGCGAATCCATGCCTGGTATGACCAATATAAGCGTTTTTGCTCCATTAACAGCGGGTGTTAATGTAGCCTTAGTTATAGGTTCATATATGAGTGTGCACGAATGAGAATTGGTGTACGTGTGAATGTTTGTAGAGGGCATCAGATCCAAATCACCCGAGGTTTGATTCCTGCCCGTGCACACCATTTAAAAATTGTATCTGAACCAGGACTGGGTCACCCCTAGGCTTACTTGGCCCACAATGAGTGTCTGTTGTCATGTGTTAAAATTAGCAACGATGAAACAAAGGTCAGCCTCTGTGATTCCGACAACGAAATTCCCTCATGTGCCACCACAGCCTACACAGGTAATTGTCTATACACATGCTGTTAACATGAAGAATGGTATACTCATGCCAACAACGCAACTAAACTGTTAACATCCACAAAAAGCACAAATACTTGTTAATGATATCCCTGAGACGGGTCAATGGCGCCATTACTTCAACGAGACGAACTTTGAACTTAGATGCAATTGCATTAGCTCTAGCCCATGCAGTTAATATTCATCTATCCCACATAGCCAAACAGGGGGAGTTTACTGGCCTATCTGGACATTTTTCGCTACAAATATCAGCTTTAGAGTGACATGACACACACACACACTTGTGAAAAAGTCTAAATTGTAAATATGCTCGATTACATATTCTTTGTTCTATTACACATTATTACATATTATTTGGGTCTTTCGGAAAGACCCAAAGAATATGAATTACTGCAGTCACGAAAGCTTTAAGTCAAGCTTGATGCTCTATTACAACTTTAAATTACACTTCTTTATAATAATTTTAAAACATCTATAAATGTACTGTGTCACTTTGCATGGACTAACAGCATGATAAACATAACATGTGTATTGCCTTTGTATTGAACATAAATATGGCAAGAGACTGAAATCATCAAGCACAAATACAACTGGCAATTTTAAATTTGAATTCGATGCCAATGACATAACTACCATTCTTACGACCAACAATAATGTTAAGAAAAAGGCTCAAAGGGGAAAACTGAAAACAAATGGTTGAAGGGGCGGCAGGCGGGATTGTTATAAACATGGGGTTTAATATGCAGCACTATTGTGGGATAACCCAAAACAGACCAGTTTAGAGGAAACTAAGCCACACGATGACATCCACACACAATGGAGACATGCTAGGGCCGTCTGCACGCGCGATTCTCCAAACACGACTGGGCGTTAAGAAAATATGCCCCGCTGAAGCTGGTGCCAATGATGAGTAGCCAATGGCTTTCTGCCAGCAGAGCCTCATCTCCATGATCTCCTCTATTACACCGCATACCAAATGCACCCTCTCCACTGTAGCAAGGACCATTTACAGATTGCCAAGGCAATAATAGCTGTTAAAGCTGCAGGATTAAGCTAAGGCAGTTCCTGGCACTTCCACAAGCCTTCAGTATACACTGAGGAATGTGACTTTTTCTCATATACATATAAAAATCTTACAGCCATTTGGCAATCCACTGATGGATGCAGGCCACGTCGTGTTAGTAAATAATAGCTGTTTGACCATACTTCACCATGCTGATCAGTGAAGGTTGGTGAAAGAAGTTGGGGGGGAGAGGGGACCCAGGATCATTACAACCTTGGGAAAAATTTCGATTTAAAGCTTTCGTGACTGCAGGGATTCATCATCTTGGTTCTTTCGGTAAAGTCACGTAGAAGGGAAATTTAAAAAAATATATTCTCTTATATTATTTTATTATGTTTTATTTTTATTACTTTATTATTTCCCTTCTACGTGACTTTACCGAAAGAACCAAGAAGATGAACCTTGGGAAAGTGTTGCAAATTTTTGTCCATTTGGATCATTTGTTCACATCACTGGATTCATTGCAAGAGTTTTAATTAATTTACTTTTGATTAATTTCCAAAATAAAAATAAGGTAAAATTATCACAAGATATGTTATAACTTATACATGATTAAGTTCCTCGAGATTCGTCTGACCATGTAAAGGCTGGCAGTGTTTTGCCAAATGCTGGCATGCTCCTCAACATCAGGATAAGTTCAGGCCAAAACGCAACAGTTATTTCTGTTACCATGTTACTCTTGGCACACTCACAAACGAGTTCATTTCAGTGGCTAACATTTGCCAAAAAATCTCCCAATCAAATCCAATCCACCTTGCTGAAATCACAATGTATACGGCCCAGACACTGGAGCACACTGCCATGCAGGGATGTCAAATATTTTTGGTGGCACAATATCGGCGTCAAAGTGTATATGTCGTTAAAAATTCAACGCAGGCACCACTCGACACATCTCGCCAAACTCCACTATATTATTTCCACGATTCTGACAACTGATGTCACGTTTGGACGCAACGTTCTTCTCAATGCTGGCACGGGGTCCATTGTAGTCTAGTGGCAACCGAAAGCATCTGCACTCAATCTGTGGAGAGGCTCAGGGACACACCGGCTATACCATGTGCAGATATTCCATCACAGCCGTGAGGATCGAGGGCCACGTTCGACTGCAAGGAACGGTTCTCGTTGTGAGACACGCTGCAGAAACATCTCTGGAGGAAACTCCACTGCCAAGTTTCACTAATTAATCTATCCGTGCAACATGGAATGGCCGTTGTTTGAGATGTCGATCCTGGAGCACAACATGTACCTGTACCAGCGCACACAACAGAACATTTAAGCAATTAAATAAACAAGGTCCAAGACGACTGTCAGCTGACCAGCGGTGCATGTCCAGATTTTTCCATCAGCCCCACGCCACGCTCACTCACCGATGGCGTCTCCGGCTGGGACGTTGCACAGTTTCTCTGGCCGCACGACAATCTGTGTTCCAGCCAGCCGAGCCAGCCCTTCCTCCATCAGTTTCTCCACCACGTGCTCAGCTATGAGCGGGTAGGGCCTTTGCTGCGGCATGGACAGAGCGTTGTCCGACGGCCGGTACACGCGCTGCACGGGGGTCAGTGCGCTGGGGTTCTCCTGCGAGCGAGCAACACACACAGACGTGAATACACCTCATACACACAAAAGCATGTGCATGGCATGCACACCAACGCGTGTGCGTGTGAATGGTATGGTCGACGCCACTTACATTTAATTATAAAACCTATACTCAGCATGTATGGTATAAGCTGAATATAAGAACACCCTTTGAAAGTAAGGCCAGCTGTGCTTATATCAGGCATGTGATTATATCAGAATTTCCCTTCCCCCCCCACCCCCTCAACTGTATGCATGTGTTGCTTCTAATCGAACAGTGATATTAGGTGTGCTTATATCCAGAATATATTCTATTTAAACTGCATAAAATGCAGAGCAATTTCAGGTCATCAAATGAAAGCACATATATTACAAAAGTGGGCCAACAAGGAATTTCATTTGCTTAATGCGCAAACTCATGATTGATGATTAAAACTATAAAACCATCTGAAAATCGAAAAATCTGTGTTTGTTTTCTTGATTCCACAAGATAACCTATGCAAATACATTAGGATATTTAACCTTTCACGATTAAATTAGCAAACTTAAAAAATGTGTAATCACATTTTAAAATCTATATTTCAGTAAGTGTACTCCCCAGATAAACCGCACTTGGACTATGCAGCAAAGACACTTTTGCAATTGTTGCCAACGAGTATCAGAAAACACTGTAGAGGCGTGTGGAAAGAGATTTCCAATTTCCGTAATGTCAAGAATCACACTTTGGCAAAAAGCATTGTTAAGAGAAAGGAGTTTCATTATGTACTACTCAAACAGGCTTACTGTGACCTCGGCAAAAAAAAACCTGCCGTTTGAAACAATCTAAAAAGGGTAAACATAACAGCACCATAACATTACTGTGCACTTTAACACAGCGTAGCAAAATTTTAAGATGGCTTTTATTACCTTCTACGTTGTATTTGTGAGTTTTGTAACAGCGTAATTCACGCAAGATTCAACAAACCAGGCTCACTTCAATAATAAGCAGAATGGGACCATTTCACAAACGAAATTTTCAATTAACGTTGTGCACATAGTGCAAGGTCAAACAAAATTGCAAACAGTGGTAAAAGCTGCATGTATTTCGCGTGCACGTTTCATACAAGCTGAGAAGAACAATGAAACACCAGACTTGGTGCCATTCTGCAAACTGCTAAGGGTTGTTTTAAATTAAGTCGCACAATAATTGTGATTGACGGAACCTCATGTGGCATCACCATCGTCACCGAAACACATTTTAAAAAATGCACAGCCAGTAGTGCTGGCGTCGCCAGTGGAGCGTGGATTCGTCGTTTACATGAACGGGTAATTACAGGCAACTCACGAGATTCTAACAAATAGTTAACTTATGTAAAAATATCACTTCATATTCTATGGGTACAGTTCCAAGTATTCCATACCAAAGAGGAATCTAATGAAAATATTTTCACACAAGTAATATAGTTTGAGGTTATATCTGCATAAAAAAACTAAATACATTGGCAAAGTAAAAAAAATGTATAAACAGTTCTCAGCAGGCTGGCACATGGTACCGCAAAGATTCGCTCACTTTTGAGAATTTTGAAGGCTATGCAGGTGAGAACACTGACATTAAAAAGAATGTGAAAATCGTATGCTATGATATTACGTTGTCATATAGCTTCTTGGCAAGGTGGCGGATGTTTTTGTGGACCAGCTCTTGATTTCCTTCTTCACTCTTCACCCACTCCACACTTGAGGCTGCCAGCTAAAGAGAATACATCATCATTATCATTTCTAGCACCTCTCTTAAAGTGCTAGGGGAAGACTCAAACCAAAACAAAAACAACTCGTATGCTATGGATACGTAACTATGCTCTGTACGAAGGGCTGTCCAACGTCAGTTTGACGCCTTGTTTATGAAAAAGACTTTAAAATCATCCGAGTGCATCTTTACGGCAAGCTGGTACCCAAACTGTGACATCATTCCAATATGGGTTGGTATTGACGTCAATGCAGTGACAGCAGCCCACATAAAAGCAATTTCAAAGTACATTTTTTCGAATGAATGTAGTGTGTCCGACAGCTTAAGATCAACACGCTATGTGTGTACCAACGAGATAAGAGACGTTTGTTTTTTTAGCTTGCATCTTCCTTCAAGCTTTTAAAAAAAATATATGAATTTAACCATTTGTTGTCATTAAAAATCAAAGGTGAAGAACTGAAGTAAATTAAATTCTGACGAGAGGACGTCTGCCAAGGCGATGGGAGTGATGAAGACTGGCAACAACTGGGGAAGGCCTTCATCATCGAGCAGCGGATTTGGCTATGGCTGGTGATAATGATGGGGACACGCAGACAAGTAGCAGACTATGCTACCTCATCAAAGAGGTCACATGTGCGGTAGGGAGGCCCTCTCTCGGAGACGAAGCCTGCAAATGCCATGCTGTCCAGGAGTTTGGGAATGAAGTCGTTTTCCACGAGGCCTCGCTGTCCGAGAAAAGCAGCCTGCACATCAAAAAGTCAGACGCAAATTATTTAAACATCACCAAGCTCAAAGGAACCCTAAAAGTACTCTTTGAACATTGTCAAACGTCCAAATTAATATCTAACAAATCAACCTGAAGATGACGTATTGCAAAATAACTAGGACCCTCCCAAGCGCAAAAAAAATGAACATGGCACTTTGCTGCTACACATTCGAAGGAAATTATATTGTTCAATGAATGCCACATTATTCATAACCAGTACAAATGTCTTCACAATTCTGACACCAAACTGTTGAATAATGGTACGGTGAAAGCTATGGGAAAGGCGTTTTCACTATTAGGGCAAGGTTTAAGGCCCACCCCCCACTGTCACACTGGGACAGCCCATGGCATTTCCCTGTCTGGATTCCTGAGCACTCACTGCAAGTGCTTGGGATTTCCTGCCCTGACCTTCCTGCCCCAGACCTCTCACCGGCACCAGCCCACCTTGGCTAATAAATACCACAGGGGGAAAATTAATAGCAAACTCCTATTACTTTCACATTTTCACAAACCGCAGCGAGTGATATTCAGAAAGTAAAAGTATTATTTGGGGTTTTTTTTTTTATTGAAACAAGCTTATCCTGTTTTCCTAACACTCTCCAATATGTTCAGCTGATTCAGTAGAAATTGCTGAAGGTTTAAATGCCAACCTCATGGCTCACATTACATCAATTAATCTATGACTCTCTTAACCTACACCATATCTGAAATGGTGTCCAGACATCTTTAAATCTTAATCTTCTTCCATTTATGGTATACAAAAGCGGTTTGTCTTTACTCAAGAGACCTTTTAAAAAAATGAGTTATTATCCTTGGCGGACTCCTCATCAATACAGCTTGGCACGCCGGCCCGAGTGATCTCTCTAAATATGCCTACAAAGCCATCTTATGGGACTCAGATGCAAACTTCACTAAATCCCCAGAAGAATTGAGGAATGTGTAGGGGAAAGGTTCCGAAGGAAACTCAAAACTTTTTACAACCAAGGCTCCCTGCTTCACTCAACTCAATTATCCTCATCATTCTCCAAATACCAGTTTAATTTTTTTTTCTGTATACAAAAAGATGTTCGTGCTATCCCTCCAGGCGCATGTTGCTGTTTTTTCCCACTTGCAATGACTGATCCATCAGCCGGGGGCCTCACTTCAACTCAACCACGAATAAATCTACCCACAAAACACGCAATTGAGCTGTTTTTCTGTCTCGTGTTTTTTCACATAAGGCCTTCTTGCCAGAAACACATTCCAGTTTATTTTAATCGATTAGGGAAATACTTTGTCATCTACTTCTAAAATAAATCTTTCATAAATTCTGACAGTTTCAAATAGAGAAAACAAATAATAATGTACTAAGAAAACAAATACGCTAACAGATGTAAAAATGCTTCTGCTGATAATGAACTTCAGCAAAACAATGCATACATGTGATAACAAAAAAATATTAAATGAATACTACGTTTCCTTTAAAAACACTCCTAAAAGTTTAAACGAACATTTTTTTCCAAAGCATGAGCAAAACCCCATGATTATAGTTTTGTTGTATAAGACTAAAGAAGCCTAAACTCAATCACAGTGGAATCCGATCACAGTACTTTGAGGTTCAATCCCATGGAATAATAAACAACGGGAGGAGGTTTTCTGCACGGGCTGGCCAAGGAGCGCGCGCTTGTTGAGATGAGGTTGACTGCTAGGCGGGCGGGCAACCGGCAGTAATAGTGGCAGGGAGGGAGGGGAGGGAGAAGTGATGAGGGGAGGACCTTGTGGAACCGAATCACGGGCTCGGAGTGGATCCGGATCAGCTGCAGACACGAGCGGTAGCCTTGAAGGAGCTGGGCAAACAGCCGCAGCATCGCAGCACGCACCTCCTTGTCCTAAGTGTAAAGAGGTCAAAATCATTAAGAGAGATAAGATGGTGTTTTTTTCTACTTTGTCAAAAACTAAATTCCTGCCATCGAGTAATAGCTTCAATCTGGCAATGTTTTCAAAGTATAGTATAAGCCTCGGCTTCAAAGGTATCTTAATCTGCAGTGGAATGTCCAATGTTCCTATAAAAATGTAGCAGATCAATTTGAAACAGAAGTGCTTTCACTAAGCCCAAAGAAAACATTTTATTTTTGGATTTAAAACAGGAAGATTAGACCTAAGTACAAAAAAATACATGGAAGAAAAAAGTGAATGGAAATTATGGACTGGTTATTTGTCTCTGAGAAATGTGATCACTCGCCTGCATTTCAGGCTTGATGACGCTTGGGGAAGTTGGAGAAAAAGCCATATCTGCCACCTCCAAGTCTGGGTAAAGAACCTTAAAAGGTAACAAATTCATAATAAAACAAATTAAGCACATTCGCTGCAATGTTATGACATCATTAACATTTAGCATTTCCTAAGAGCTACTTTATTGAGAGCACTAATGCAATTGGCAGCTGCATACCATTGAGAGGGAAGTCTGGATGTGCTGCAGATACGGTTCAGGCAGGGCCGAGACTTGCACACACTCGGGGATCATGACCGTCCCACCATCAAGGTCGGCAATAATGACGTCCAACTGTCAGGGTCAAAGTCCGCACGTTATACGTGCAGCACTGGTAAGCGGCCGAGCACGTGCATACTCATGTACTATTCACACACTTTACAATTACATTAAAGATGCAGAACAAAAATGGCCTCGCTAAAAAAGCGAGACCACACAAAACTGTGAACAGAAGAGGTGTGCCCAACATACCAGCTCCTGGAACTCGCTGCGGAAGGTGGAGTGCACGCCAATAATGAAGGGAGTTGGGGTGCTCAGGACCTCCAGAAGGCTTCCTGGCAGGATCGGGATGTACGTGTAGCTGCAATGTTCAAACGGGAAAAGCTGATCAGCACATATCACCTTTGGTGAATCATCTCTTACCAAATTTGACGCTATTAATTGTTGTGGAACTGCGGTTATGAGCTGCACTTTTTTAGACCAAGCATGCTCAGGAGCAGACAGTTAACAATTAATTGCATTCTCAGGTCTAAAAAACGGCCAGTAAAATGGTCATGTGGTGTGTATAAACACTATAATGATACAACACAGGTTCCATTGAAAAGTGTGACATAGTGACCTTGTCCAACACAAAGTCACGAAAACTTCAAATCAAGATTGAGCATACTGCTCATAAGCCATGTTTTGTTTTTGAACTGCAACATTACAGATGGGTGCTGCAAGTTCCAAGGCTGAATGACAGTGACAATGTTTGTTCAAATTTAGAAAGTAAACACAGTACTAAACATGTCAACATGGTGTAGAATTGACGCTTTGATCAATAAGACCTTGGCCCTGGACAGATTGCATAACATCACATGGCAGATACCGAAAAGACACGTTGCTAAATAGTAAGTGCAATTTATATCGCTGACATTATAGAAGAATGTTAAGCACCTTTTCGCAGTCAGCCAAACATCCTGTTTATGTTCAAGTAGTTAAAGGTCCACATTCTCAGGCCCACTGAGGTCTGATGAATTGCCATGGATGCAGCAAGCGTATTGTCACATGATGTGCATTACCCAATTTAACTACGACAGCCAACTGCTACTAAACACCAATAACAGCTGCGTAATACTCAATCATGAACATAATTTTGTTAAATATGAATATGAAGGAGTTATAATGTTTAAGCTCACTCTGAACATTTGAACATTAGGGAATTACGTAACTAAATAAATGTATCATCAGGTGTAGTTTAATTTTAACTTAAGTCAACTACACCAATTGAAAGTGTTTACATTATGGTGGCCGCTATTAACTGAATTACACTCCACTTAAATTAGAGGCAGGTAACTCAATTAAGTTTGTAAAGCAAAATTTTGTGCATGTACGCCCGATTTATATGATCGCCGGGCATTTAAAATTAACAAATAGCTAAAATGTCGATAGTTGTACAAGCCAACATACCATCTAGATGCAGCATGTATAAAATAATGTGGTCGAGTTTGAATTTTACTCTGGATTAATTGTACTTATTTACGGTTAGAAATGTCAAACTTAGTTTGGCAGAAGTTTAACATTGGCAAGTCAAGGCTTGGCACACGTATTTTAATATAAACCAAGCGATATACATTACAACAAATAATTACATGTCCAAGTTTAGAAATTACAAACCCTATTCAAATTTTTTTAAATACTTCGTTATAAAAACAAAATAATGTATTTTTATTCAACCTCGATGTTTGTTTTGTTTAAAAAAAAATCACAAACATGCATGAAGACTCACAAACACCAAAAAAAAATGCACATGCACAAATTCATCATGAGCACTTGAACTCAATACCACTGGTATGTGTGTGCAAACAATGGTTTCATGCATCCTGTCTTCAATAACAGCGGAATCTACTTATTATGCACTCTGGTTTATTTTTTTATCTCGTCTAAATTACCCATTTTGCTTATGGCGTAGAAGAAGGTGCCGTTAAGGCACGTAACCATGGTGGCTCAACCTGTTTAGTGTCAACTCTGTTTATAGCACGCATTTTTGAGATCCCTGGGGATAAAGTGAGGCGGGTCCTCACTGAAACACACCGCTAGCTGAAGCATGTTAAGTCCTTGTTACAGAAATGAGCTAACTACTGGAATTTAAAAACATGCAGTGCATTATTTACATACGGTAAAATAAACAACAATATTACAGGTTACGTTAATTTGTTAAAGGTGATCTTCACATTCAAATGAATTGTAATTGGCTAAAAGGACTTTTCTTCTGGTAAACACACACCTGACTGTTTACCTCTGAGTTATACAATTTATAAAAACTAACATTTACAATTGTGGGTCTGTGATTAACGTACATACAGCCAAATAAGGCTTCTTTTGTCAGTGCTTGAATGACTACATGAAGTTTCACTGTCTCCAGAGGCTCAGCACAATAGTACGTGACATTCATTAGTCTCTTCCAGAATCTGATTAAAAGTATACATGTGATCTGGGAAAACATTTTCTCAACCCAACTTGCATGAGTGAAAAAGCTCCACCGAGATTGCATCAAGCACCAAAAATGCACGTTTGAGTCACACAAGGAGACGCGTTTTCGCAAAAAGCAAATTCACAGCGGCATACGAAGATGTTTTCCAAAATTTGGATGGGAGAATGTTTTTATAAAAATAGATGGAGAATGTATGAACCGTCTCAGATTTTCACATTCATTAAGTTCTTCAATAATTGGTAGTTATTTTCCATTGTTTGTTATAATCACTGTTGGCAAATCCAAGATGGTTAATATATTCTCCATGTATAAATCAACCTTTGCTTCATCATCTGTACGTTTGTCTACGTACAGTGCGAATCAAGTTCATCGTACATACTTCAAGTGCATGTCATTTCTCATATCACCATTTGGGCTTCTCCATTAACATTTTCTAGACTCCTTTTTAAAAATGTGTTCATAATCTTCATCTCACTGCTATCTGTAAACTCTAATGGATGTTCTCTTCTCTTACCATCACAGTGAAGTCTCTAACTAGAATGGTATTGTATGCTTTACATTCATTTAGAAGTTTACTAATCTATTCATACATTGTCCACTTCCACCTCTTCTCTGCATGGAGTTGAGGCATACATTTTAACCTGTAGCAGTTTGAGAGAATTACTATTAACTGGGCAAACATTCAAAAGTACTTTTGAATCCTAAAAGTCCACGTTTGATTCCCAGAGAGACTAAGAATTCCACTCTACCGCTACGATCGAAAATGTTGGCACTATTTAACTACGTGAAGTTCTCCGCTTCTTGCCTCACCTTACCGGGGGGGAGGGGTCCAACTATGCCCCAACGTATTTCTCCCAGTTCTGTTTCCAGTTCCAATATAACCCACTTTTGTAACCTGCACAATATGAACCCACCTGTATTTGAGTGGGAAGGTGAGGGCCACGAGTGCACGGCATGCCTCGGTCAGTCGCTGGTAACTGCTGGAGTGAAATAGAATCTTGTGTTCCGTGAGCACAGCACAAAACAGGTGCAGCACGTTGTTGATCCCTGTTGTGGGGATAAAGAATAAGCAAAGATAGAAAAAAAAAACAGAGGGGAAAAAAAAATTATGTCACTCCATAACAGCATGTGACGCTTCTTCCAAAAAGACGAATTTCATGGGACTTTTGTTTGAAGCCAAGTCTAAAAAGGATAATGAGGTTATATAGGACCGTGAAAACAGGTTGAAATTATCATCAGACCCGCGATATTTCTTTGAGCATCTGCCTGTGTTTGCATAATGCCACAGTGACTAGTTTGTTCAATACAATTGTTTTAATGAAGCTGTTACATGCATGTTTATTGGCGAGATGAAGATAAAGTGCTTTAATTATTGCACCCACGCATGTTTAATAGCCCAGAGCTCCAGCCATAGTAGAGACAGTGCTTTCATTATTGCACACATGACAATGATGGCACGAAACTAAACTATGCACAGCTTAGCTTGGCTTGAATTCTACTGTTTGTAAGCGAAACAAAATGACCTCCGCTTGCAATATTAATGAAATATACTGTAATTAAATGATCATCAATAGAATAAAAAAAGTACCACTGAGTTAAAACAACACAAAACACACCCCCAATGAAATCCGGTCTTTCAATGGAAAATTTCAAGTATTGTAGTTGAAACCGATGATGCATGATACCATTTTAATTAAAAAAACGGCGATTTTGATGTTAACGTTGTGAGTAAAATCTTGGCTTAAAGCTTTCGTGCCTGCAGGAATTCATACAAAGAAAATAACAAAAAACACCGACGTTTCGATCGCAACGCAAGTGGTCGTCATCAGGAAAAGGGGGTTAGCTTCTAAAGGCAAACTGTTCATAAAGGTTTGAAATGGGCGTAGCCCAAGTATCAGCAGCATGGGCGGGGCAGCTGATGTTAATGTAAGTGGTGGGCTGCGACCGCGATGGTGGTGGGTTTTCCACCAACTGAAGGGCTGCCAGGTAAAAATTAGCATGTTCATGGAAGGTTGGTGAGCAGCCTCGACGGCGAGCGCGCTGAGGTGGCTATGTTAATGTGAGTGAGAGATTAGCATGTTAATGTGAGAGATTAGCATGTTAATGTGAGTGAGAGATTAGCATGTTAATGGAGGATCGCAGAGCCGCAACCTCTAGGTCGGCGTGCGAAGGTGGCTGTGTAAGTGTGAGAACCCTCCACCACCCGACACGGCCAATCAGTAAAAAAGTGTCACGTTGACAAAAGACAAATAGTTCACTGCTTTAGCCCACCGGTGTGTTGAAGCCACAACATTTACAATTTGAGTACGACGTTTCGCTGGTAATTGCATCCAGCATCATCGGGCAATTCGCCAGAATGGTGAGGCTCTGCTGTGTCTCCCGTTCTTATATAGAGCAGCAGCAGGGTGACGTCATCATTAACTCATTAACTCATCAGGTGCAAAGATTCAAGGGGGGGGGGTGATTGTAATTATATACTAGATTAGTAATCAGGCTATTGTTACGATGCGAGTTGTAGATTAGTAATCATTTGGAACGTGTTTTATTGTGATTATGCTACATTAGTAATCAGTTAGTGTTTGTTTCCCTTATAAGGAATTGTAATGTATCTTATTTAATAATACGCTTTCGGTTTCGGCCGAAACTGACATTGACTTTCGGTCGTCATTCGTCAACCGAAGATCTATTTGTAGAATAAAACGCTCGTGCTAGGTCTATCACTCTGCCTATCCGCCGGTAAGTCGGCGCGAGGCAATCCTATGCGATAGGCTGCAAACACACACACGTCAGCAGCAGCTTGGGAGCGAGGTTACAGCCGCAACCACGGTCTGCTAATGTATATACGAACGGTCAACAGATGGCAGCCTGTCTGGCTGAATGCGGGAAAAACTGTTGTTTCTTAACTACAACATTAGTTTGTCTGGATATAATTACTAAGTAAGCAACACCTAAAGATTTGATATTTAGCGACTCTTACTGCAGACTCTGAATGATTAGTGCTAGATTTATTTTTAATTAAAGTAGCATTGCATCATGACATGTTTCATAAATCTTGTGTTCGGTAACTTCGGTTATATGCCTTTCTTTTTCGGTCTCGGTCGAAAGTGGAGTTAAACTTTCCGTTTCGGCTTCGGTTTCAGTCGAAAGTGTAGTTAAACTTTTGGCTTCGGTTTTGGCCGAAAGTGTAGTTAAACTTTCGGTTTCGGCAGAGAGTCAATTTTTTACTTTCGTCTGGTTTCAGTTTCGGACGAAACTAGACATTCAGTTTCGGTCAGCCTCTAACTTTAGACGCTAACCCCCTTTTCCTGATAACCACTTGTGTTGCGATCGAAACGTTGTAGTTTTTTGTTATTTTCTATGAACCTATCTGCGTGACTTTACCGAAAGACCCAAAGAATATAAATTGTGAGTCAAGTGATAATGCCTTTGGCCCACAAGCAGAGCGTTATTTTTTTCAATATATTACGTGTGTGGGATTGGCCCGGCGCTAAGGAAAAGAAGTTAACATTGGCGAGTGTGGTCTTGCAAAAAAATACTACAAGGTACCCGAGGCTTAAAGGCGCCTACTCTTGGCATTCAAACATAAAATACTCAAATGCATCACAATTTGAAGAGACCGCAAATCTTCCGGCAAGTCAGATCAATGAAAATCAATATATTTTCAACAATCCTGCTCGTAAAAAGTTATTGATTTGAATAACTATTATGCTTACACAATTAAAGTCAAATTAAATCGAGTAAAAACATCACTGTTTGAAATTTTTCAGTCACTTAAAATGTAGAATTAAACACTTAGTTTACCACCGGTATAAACCAAGCTTATGATATACCATGGAAAACACCTCCAGTCAAAAAATAATATTGCTTTGGAAAACCTAGGATCGTTGGCACCAAAAAGGGGTCCCGCAGGGACACTCACGTTGGGAACACCACACCGTTATAGAAGTCTCAACACTATGACCTTTCTCCACAGCCTGCCGTACGCGTACCGTCTGCCATTGAGCCAAAGACCTGACGCATGTTTTTAAAACCGGGACTTCCTGCGCGATTGTGCCGCACTGTTTGGTTACGATATCCTGCCTTGGGTATTTACATCAAACGGTTGGTAAACAGGAAGTGACATTCTGCACGAGGAAGCCCGCTTCCTCCAGCCCAGACCGCAAACGGCTCCTGCTTACGAATCAGACGCTCTCCAGCAGAGATAGTGTTACCGGCGAGACGGTGCGTACGTGCCATATGTCCTACATCCACATATTACCTTACACAAATATGTCCATCAGTATTTAATCTGGAGGCCACAGCATCTGCTTTGCGTAATTTTCGGATTTTTTTTCTCTCTTTTTTTTTATGAGTAATGCTATGAAGCCATCATCACCTACTCATACAGGCCACAAGCCACAAATTGCTATGTCCATGCTTTTCTTCTTAGCATTTTACTCTCGCAAAAATTACAATGGTTACTATGATCACCAGTATAAAAATATTTCACAGAATGAAGGCCAAAGGCATCCAATCATAAGGAATTTTGGCTCTACTAAAATGGTCATATGGCAACATGAAATCAAATTGCCGAGCTCTGGATTTATGCCTGCAAGTTTTAGCTCTGCTGTGAAATAATAACAGATGGCATTGTTTTTACTACTGGCATCATTTTAAAAGTTTCACTCGTACAGTTTCAACTTGCTTAAAACTTCCAACGCAATACAGTACACAGATATTATTTAAGCAGCTTATTTATTTTATCGAGCTAATTTTGTTCCGAAGTATATAAAATAACACTTTAGTTTTACAACAAAATATTAACAGCAACTCATTCCTGTGGCAAACTTCACAGATGCCAAAAAATAACCAGATAGTGTCAATGCATTTCTATGTGAATTCACACCTATCAATGTGCCAAAGGAAAATACCTGGCACTCACTCTAAAATCTACGGCTGGCTCACAACTATAAATGAAAATTCATTTATTTAAACTACGAACCAAAGTTTACTTGTTTTTACTGTGTGTGCCCCTTTTATTTTTTACACATTTCCTGTCAATGTCATATAATTTGCACTTGACAATAGCAATGGCTTACACAAGTGAAGGGCATCCAACAAGCATGTTGACATGCCTGGAGGATTGTCAATTTGATGGGAGGGTTTAAACTAATGATTGTGGGCCCCAAGAGAAGTACTGTAGACACTATCTTCAACATCCCACAACCACGCCATTGCACTCGAGCTAAAGGCATCTCATGCAGAAATGACTCAATCTGGCCAAGTAATGCACATTCAAAAATGCAGTATAATAACAAATGTGGTTTTGATATGTTTACCATAAAAATAAACCCACCATTGAGGTCACCACTGAATTCACTATGAACTCTGTTTTACCCTGAAATTTCTGACTCATTATACTATTACATATAAATCGCGTAATGTCAGTGGAACAGGCATGCCGAAACAAACAAAACAAACATTACGCTCTCAACTGAAATCCAGTTGTACTTTCTGTTATATATTTTACAAGAGGGCACTTTTGAAGGGCGTCCTGAAATCACACCCACAATACAGCTTATAGCAATGCCTGTCTCGCCACAAGGAAGCCGAGGGAGTCCAATAGCTGAGATAAATTATTTCGTCCAGCGAGAACCAATTCAAGAGGCCCTGGAAGGACAGCCACAGATCTTCAGGCCTATTCCATCACCTGGGAAGCTTGATATTTGCAAAAGCGAGGAAGGGAATCGAAGCACACGCGGCTTGGTCACTGCCACGGAAAGTTATTAGTATGGAAAGAGCGCAAGGAGGCCGTATTTTTTACTCAAATTGTCTTAATGGTGACATTTATATTTGAAAGGATGTGATTAAGAGGTGAACTAGTGTTTTTAGTTTAAAATATTGTGGTGGGGTTTTTTCCCCCTATCACGAATATGTATTAATAGCATAAGGCAACGATTGATTAAGAAATGCACGAAAGACAATCACAGAACATTAATCAACATGTGTGCTCAAGTGTATGAAATAATTCCCTTTCGCCCCAAATTCTGATGCTTACTTGTAAACAT